AGTGCCTTTAAGTTAACTTTGCAACAAACTAAAAATCATTCAATTTGGAATTAATCACAAATTTTAGAAAATTTTGGAGTAGAAAGAAATTGCTACCCTCAATTCTAAGACGTTATCAAGGTACCTTTGTTTTTATCTCTCTTTAGTCCTACTTTTATTTTTAATTTTATAATAATTTTTAACTTACATATTTCAACTTTTAGATTTTAATTTTTAATTTTTAATCTTTAATCTTTCATTTTTCTTTTATTTTTAACTTTTATCTTTTATCTTTAACTCAACCTTTAAGATTTTTTATTTTTACCACGAATGAATGGCAATAATTTGATCAAGTAATTTCATCATTAGTTATTTAAAGGATGATAATTTATAAGTTTAAACTAATTAATTATTTAATTAATTTAATAAAAATCATATTTTTGTAATCACATAAAAATTAATAATTAAATATTATATAAATGATCTTGAATAATCTATTGAGATTTAAGTAGAGATCATGCAAATAGTCTTGAAGACCATAGTAATCTCATTAAAAATATATATATATATATATATATATTGGTAACCATTGCTTCCAAAGCTTAAAGTTAATTGAATTGTTAACACTAAGATTTAAATCAACTTAGCAATTACACAATTGGGAGTCCTCTATTCCACCTCTTAAACTTGTTGTGTGGCATTAGTTTCATTCAGTGGTGAAATTTGGGTTCACAATGTATAACAAGAGCCATCAAATTTTAGCCATTCCTTAATAGTAAGGCTATTTGAAGCCATACTTGTAAAAGAACCGGGTCTGCTAGTGCTCTAGTTTTTGTGCAAAATATTTTTAACACAATCATTTTTCATTAAAGCTTCTTAATCTAATTTTTTATATTTTTTTAATTTATTTTTTGAATTATCTTTTTTTATTGCTGCTCTAATATCATATTAAAAATTTTCATGTTAAACACTATGTAAATATATTTATTTTTATTATTAGAATTATATTTTTATACACAATATATTATATCAAAGGATGTCACGACTAGAAGGATCATAACTCTTTGCAAGGTTGCGATTATTTTTTTAATTATAAAACAGTTGTCTATGATATGTTTGCTACTAAAGCTGTTAAGATTTTAATGTTTAGAGGTGTGATTGCAAGGAAAGTGTACGGCTTTAGACGAAGATGTTGATATCTAACAACCTTGGTAGAATTAAATACCTTGTTGACAACTTCTTTGGAAATGGTTGCAATGCAATAATGATGTTGAAATTTGCTAACATTAAACAAGTGCCAACTAGTCTTGTGTCATATTCTGCAATGTTCCAAGAATTAAAAGAAAAATTTATTGTGAGCTTTTTATTTGGACTTCATGGTTAAGCCTTAAGATAATGCTTATTAGAGAAATAATTTAGGAGAATTTTGAAGACTAGTTAATATGAAAAATAAAATGTCAATATCATAGATTTTATTTATTTATTTATTTATTGATAAATTTGAGTGATCTGGTAATTAGATATATTTAATGTTTTTATAAGTATAAAGTACAACAACTAATTGAAGTGGTTAAAAAAGAATCTAACTTGCAACTATTGAAAATGCATGTTGAAATGAAAGTAATTATTTGTGTATAATTTTAATATTGTGCAATGCAGCATAGGCAATTTTGTGATAAAATTATAGACTTTCTTTATTTTTGGCAATATTGAATAAAAATATTGTAATTATAAAACTTTAATTGTTACAATATATCATTTCATGAATTGTAGTTGGTAAATGATTTAATTGTTGAAGAATTTTTATAATATCATTTAGAAATATCATTTAGAAATATCACATTATAATTGTCAAGTTTATAATGTTAAGAATTGTAAGAAAAAGATTTTATGCTTCAAAAATTGATTAGTCAATATTTGGAAATAAAGTTGAAAAGAGATAAAGAAAGATTGTTTCAAAGTATTATAGAATATTGTAGTACTATTGTTTATTAAAACAATCAAAAGACCTCAAAAAAATACTTTAAAGATAAGAGTCTTTTTTTATGAAGTAAAACAAATACATCTAAGAAAAATTGTTGTTCTATAGAATAATCATTTTGTTTAAACATAGTTTAAAATGACCAATGTATGTAGCATCAAATATTGCTGCAAAAGACTGAAGAACATATAGAGTTAGAATTGGAGCATCTTGTTGTAATTACTTACATTAGTATTGATTATGATGATACTACGGATGTTGCAATATCAGCACATTATGAATTTAATGATTTCTTCAAATATATTATGACTTATGCAGTACCATAAATTCACCACAAAAAATTTGGACTTGTGTTATTTTATTTAAATCTTATTAAACTTGAACCTTCTCTTTGACTGCAAAATGAGACAATGTTGGAGAATAATTCAAGGTGTAGCCCATGATTTTCAAGACCACTTTTAATCAAGTGAAAACAATTATGGAGCATATTTTCACATATTTTCTACAACTTTCTAGACCATCCTTTTTTTATACTTAGTTAATATTCTTGAATATTTTAATTTCATCATCTCCCAATTCTATTACAATAATATGATTCAGTGACCAGTCGCTCCCCGTTGATTTGTGATGTGATTCAAATACAATATGGTCTGTATGGAGGATTTGAAGAAAAATAAATAAATAAATAAACAATGTAGAAGATTTTGTGCACATGATGATTCTCGGATCAATTTTATCTAAGTTCTCCTTTCTAGGTAGTTTATGTGGTTCCATGCTCGTCTGGACTCTAGACTTCGTATAAACGGATGTTGAGTGAGAAGGTTATCCCGAAGTCGAGTGTTATGGGACTAAATTCTGGAGATTTCAAAGTCCGGTGCTGCGAATGTGCTTCTAATGCACGCTTTGGCTGCAAATGTAACAGAGTTTGTTCGTAATCTCAAAGCCTAACATGTTCAAGAAGCTGGCATTTGATGCATACATCATATTTGGAGAAGGCAAGATTGAGGATATGAGCTCGCAACTCCAGAGTCGAGCAGCAGGGCAGTGCGAGGTACCAGAAATGACGAAGGCAGAGGAGGAAGAAGATGAGGATGAAATGGGTTTGGAGTGGAGGGGCCATTGAGCTGGTGATGGGTCAAGCACGAGTGTCTTGAGCGAAGGCTGCGGAGGCTCTCAAGGCAACAGATAGAGACATCATTGAAGCCGTTATGGGCCTTGTTGACGATAATGAATCTGATATTTCTACACCGAATCTTTGTACTGGGGTATGATATTCACTTAATGTATGGCCTGGATAATTTGTGGCGGTATAGTTAATATGATAAAAACACATGTGGTTTCTAAATTTTTATAAAATTCTATTGTTGGAAGAAATCATGAGAATTTGTAGAGGGATCTCAAAGTGATATATTGGTTTTGAAGAATATCAAATACATTCAAAAGAAACCTAATGTTTCTTTTAAAAATTGTATTGGCTAAGAAACTATCAGTAATTGTAACTTCAAGTTATTCACGCAATAGAACTAAGAGCTTGTAGAGTTAGAATGGAGCAACATATTGTAAGTGTTCAAATTTATGCATAGATGCATCAAACTAAGTTGCTCTGTTGTGGAAAATTTCAATGGAATTATAAAGAGTATAAACCAGGATGACAACTAATCTTTAGAACTAGAATATGTATTGCCGATAAAAATAGCATGAATACTGTTGATTTTTTATTCAATCATGAGTTCAGCACAAAAGTATTGACAAGAAATGGTAGAAATGAGAGTTCATTGAAAGGAGTACTATATATATATATATATATATATATATATAACATTATAAGGTATACTATGATTTAAACATCTAAATAATTTTACGTTTTCACTTCTCTACTATTTCAAAATAATAAATCTATATTTTTTTTTATTTCCTTTTTTTTCTTTCTTCCTCCATAGTAGGTCTCTCAAGACCATTAGAATTCAACAATCTTAATTTTAAATTTATAACATTGCAATTGTGGTTTTGAGATCATATTGTTATTTATTTATTTTCAATGGAGTAAAAGCAGTTGCTCCACAAATGAAAACCCTGATCTTAAGTTTCATCTACTCCATTCATTTCACATGAAGATTTTGTATTATTTTCGAATGTTTTTTTGGTTACTTCATCATTCTGTAGGTGCTAAAAATTATTAAAATACAACTTATTTTCTAAAAGTACATGTAAAGAAACTTTAAATTCAACAATTTATATTCCAATTTTTTAATTTTGATTTTTTGTACTGATGCACTTATTTTAAGTTGAGTTATTTTTACTCTACACAGTTGCTTTATTTTAGTCCTGTTTGATTTATTTTTGTTTTTAATCTTACATTCGAGATGAACATTTAATACATATTATTATATGAAGTCAATGAAACAATTTCTTGCAATCAAGTACAAATAATAACTAAGTACAAATAATAAGAAATTTTTTAACCAATTACAAATTAAATAATAACTATGTAGAAATTGTTTTTTAAACCAAGTACAAATTAAATAATAACTATGTAGAAAAGGTAACAAAGACAAAGATATAATTTTTTTTTATTAGTAGTATAATTTTTTTGGGTATCTAAAGATTAATTTAAGCTCTTGATAATTACTTATCTTTTATTAATTATGAAATTGAATTTATTTCTAGAGACAATAAGTGGACGTTCAATGGAGCCTAATGGGACATGGTTTATGTACCTCCCAAATTTGTGCCTTACAAAATTATAAAAAAGAAGACAATTAAAGGTGAATGAAAAAATGATATGAAAAACCCCCCATGTAGAAATTAAAGAATAATATTAAAATAGATACCTTTTCATAAAATAAAATAAAAAGAGAGAAAAGAATGGCCACTTCAAAGCTCTCTCACACACTACTCGCAACTGCGGGCTTCTCTCCATCACAGTTTCGAGCCAGCCGTCAAGATGCGGGTCCACCGTGATCGGACGGTGAGGAGTCCAGGATATCCAGCCACAGTCGCCAGGCCCCTAAACCCTAAACTGTCTAGGGACTTCACTTACGCGAAACTGAGTCCTCGAGAAGCCCCTTTTTGTTGTGTTTCTGCGCCATCGTTGTATTTCCCGTTGTCGAGCTCTTCATCTCGGAGGCGAATCGCTGGTGCACGCTTCGCCCGCCACAATGACTGCCCAGGAAGCTGAGGGACTCGCCACCGAGCTCGAGCAGCAGAAGCTTCACGTGAGTTGGGGGAGGGGATTCGGTTTTAGGGTTTTGTGGTGTTGGTTTGTGGTCTTGGTGACGTGAGCGGTGGTGGTGCATGTGTGGCTTGTAGGTGTAGCTTTCTGGATTTCGGGTGGTGGACTGCGAGGGGTTTGGTGGGAATTTTTATTTTTTAATATTTTATTTTACTTTATTTTATTTATTTTTATGTCTGGCGCACAACCTGTTGCTGTAGATAGTAGATTTTGCAAGACCTAGTTTTGGTTGAATGGTTTCTGATTACATGAGCGGCACTATCAGTGTTGAGCTTAGACAAACGCATCGACCGGTAGCTGTATTTCTCGAATAGATACATTGTTTTACATGTCATTAAGAGGCGGAGTTTTGAATTTTGAATAGGTCGTGTTATGTGAATTTCAAGAAGTATCAGTCGTGTACTGTATGCTTTGGATAATATGTGTCCCTTGTTTCGTACCCTTACCAAACTTTCGGCTCAGGAGTGGGACTACTGGATTAGTATGGACCTCCTTTTTAAGTGTACTATTTGAATGCTTACATCCTGTTCTAGGTCATGGCATTTTCAATTTAACCATTGTGCATCGTTTATTTGCTTCTGCATTGCAAATGTAATACCTTAGTTCCTCAAACTTTAGTATGCTCATTTCATTGGAGTCATTCTCTCCACATCTGAGAAGCCTGTGTTATTTACGTGATTAGTCAGACGATCCCATCATTGAGGATGCGAAGGACAGTGATGACGAGGACGATGATGAGGGCGACGATGACGACGTCGCTGATGGAGAGGAAGGTGAAGAAGCCCATTCTAACTCCCATCACTTGCTGCGTTCAGTGAATTTCAATCAACAAGATAATTTTCATTTTATATAATCTCCAACTCATGTGAAGTTTGAACATCTGCAGGCGAAGACGGTCTGACTGCAGGTAAGTCAAAGCAGAGCCGTGGTGAGAAGAAGAGCAGGAAGGCCATGCAAAAGCTTGGCATGAAACCAGTCCCCGGCGTCACCCGTGTGACAATCAAAAAGAGCAAGAACGTAAGATTCAGTGCTTTCTATTGACGTGCCTTGCGCTTCAAAAACAATATAATCTTTAAAGATGATTTTAAAATAGACTTTTGGAGGACTTTGTGCGCACTGCGATTCTCCAATTGTTTTATTTTCCCCTTGAATCTGGTGATTTCGAAGTTAGTTTCGTTATTCTGCCTCTAATGTATGCTCTGGCTGCTAATGTATCAGATTTTGTTCGTAATCTCGAAGCCTGACGTGTTCAAGAGCCCAGCATCTGATGCTCACATCATCTTTGGAGAGGCGAAGATTGAGGATTTGAGCTCACAACTTCAGAGTCAAGCTGCAGAGCAGTTCAAGGTACCAGAAGTGGCGAACGTAGAATCCAAGGCTGAGCCTGCGTCAACTGCTGAGGCTGAAGAGGAGGGCGATGTTGATGAGACCGGTGTGGAGCCCAAGGACATTGAGTTGGTAATGACTCAAGCAGGTGTTTCGCGTGCGAAGGCTGTTCATGCTCTTAAGACAACAAATGGAGATATCGTTAGTGCCATTATGGACCTTACAGGCTAATGTTAGGATCTTGTATTGAAACTTTCTCTTCGTCTCTATGGAAACACTTCAACAATACTGAGTATTTCGTTTTCACATTAGTTGGATGGATGTATGCCCTGTGAGCTCTTCTGGTCTGGGATTACTTGAAACTGAGTCAACTGTCTTGACATCTGCACCTTTGTCCGCCGTTTGAATGCTTATAAGTTGGGTAGATGGTTGTGAAAGAATATGTTAATGTAGAATTTCATGAGATAAACCAAGATTTTAACTATCGACCATTACTTGCACATTATTCCGTTTACTTCAGTCACCTCATGCCACTGCAGAGTGGAAGGGACAACTGTAACAAGGACAATGAACGCATCGGTTATTCCTGTTAATTGTACTGGGAATAGTATCTAAAATCCAAGATTCATGAGATTCAACTTCTGGTTATCGTAGGGCGAACGCATTTCTTCTAGGGCTTCTAAACGCGTCCGCATGGAGGCTCAACCTTATTTAGATTCCATGGACTTCCATGAGATGTGGTAGAACTTTGATTGGAAAATTTAGTCAAACCACGAATTGTTTAGGAGGTGTTAGTGAGAAAATAACGCTTTCTCTGAAGTTTACGAGGTTGGAAATTACTCGAAATGACAAAGAAGTAATGAACCCATCAGCAGTGGCGGATTGCGACGATTGCAGGAGCTGCAGTCCCTTCCATCAGACCCTGGAATCTACACTATTTGTGGAAACTTTCAGCAGTTTGTACTCTGCCATCCACCCCAATTTGACCAATGGCCTGTGGCGTGAAGGTCCAGTCGTTGACACTTGCTATTACCCTAACTCGAGCGTAGGTTGTTCCTATTCCAGCGGTAAATGCCTCATTTTCTCACCCATAGTTCGAATGGTGGCGTCAGTATTGTATGTAGGTATGCCGCTGACGACGGCTTCGATTTGTCTTTCAACCTTTATTTACAGGAGCTTACTCAGCATCACAAGCAGCCCCATCTTTCACTCTCATTAGATTCCATCCTAGATCCTTATAGGCCAAAGCATATTTTTCTCGTCAAATTGATGGAGTTGTGTTTCATTTTTACGCACGAGCACATGAGGGCCGCATCCCTGCTTCAAATTAGACGGGGATTGTCGAAGCCGGCCCGGGTGATTGCCCAATCATCTGCTAGTGCTTTGCGCTCCCTCTTGCCGCTGTGAAAGTCCGTCATTAGTCACGTCCTTAATCGTCACGCACATATGCACTATATGCAAGCAAAGAGATGAAAAGGTGATTATAGAATCCCGCTTTCGCCTGTCTTCCATCAGCTCGGGAAGCTGCTCTTGTGTTACGACGCAGATTTTGCCGTGCGTTGCGCATCCTTGCCGGCGATCCTGAGGCTCCACCTTCTCAAATCGTACTCCGCCTCCTGACATGCGCGTGACCCACTGTGGGGGACGCTTGTGGGTCACGTGTTCAAGCCCATTTGTGCGGATTTGCGGGAGACATGTCTCTGGTATCCCTGCACGCTTTCAGAGGACTGAATTCGTGAGTTCATGTTTAGCTGTGTCCAGTAGCGTCTTTCGATCGTCTGTTTACTTTATGGAGCTTGTCACTTTTGCCCAAAGCCAGACGAAACTGACTAGGTTTTAGAGTTGTGCCTTGTTCGCGACGAATTAAGTCAATCTCTTGATGAATTTGGGTTGAAGTTTGGTTTCATGGTGCTTAGAGATGCGTGAATATTTGAAATTTTTCAACAAGATGTGAGTTAGTGAAGCGGAGAAGGTGCGGTGTCTAAGCATTCTGTTGAGGAATTGGCTGCAGTTGGCTAGAGGTGGGCTTGGAAAGTTGAAAAATTCGTCCCCTAGAAAAAAATTGCGATGAGTGGGAGTTCAGGCCTTCTCTGCTGTGTGCCAGCTTCAAATCTGCGCTGTGGACTTAACTTCTTGGAGTTGGTTAATTCCTCGCAATCTAGGGGATGGAGTGCTGGGTTGTACCAGGGTTCTGTGTCGCCTAATTCGCGTCAATTTCTTGTTGGAAGTGGGTGAGTTGTGAAAATTTCTTGCTGCCCTTGATGCGATCAATTTGGCCTAAAAACCCCTTCAATTGAGTTAGCAGACTTCAGTGATCACAGTGTCTGCCGCTCTTCGTTAATTTCTTGTAGGAGCACTGCTACTAATGCATACTAATTTTGTCATGCCACCAAATGGTTCGGATTTTTTCACGATTATTTTGAAGAGCCAAGCCTCGGAAGTTGCCTTAGAGGTCATTTAGAAATCAAACTCTCACATGATCACGTCTTAGCTCGGTGACAGAAATACCTACTGACACGTCGTAAACTGTTGTTTCTCCGCTCTGTAAAGTGCCTCATTTAGTGAAATCAATGAGCCGACGTTCATGTCTTTCACTTCAATGTTGCAGACACTTTTCCTTGGTAAGACTGGCTAACAAATACCGACCCGCCGAAGATGGAGGTGGTGTTCGAGTCTGGGCATCACAAACAGATGCGGAAATGGAAAGGATTCGTAGCTCAAAAATGCGTAATGGCTCTCCTCGACGCCCGCTTGATTCGTCGATCCCAGGCCTGGAAGACGAAAACGGGCTGCCATTATTGAGAGGAACATCTCGAAGGTCAGTTACGTACCTCGCCAACCTCCTCAATGAAGCGAACTTTTGAAGTAAATACGCAGTTTTTGTAACTAAATTGCACCGACTCTGTTCGTGAAAGTCACTAATTTCCAATCATTCAGTGACTGGCTAGTAGAGGCATTCTACCCGCTCCTCTGGCTGTTGGATTAGTTGTAGTTAGATTCTATCCTGGCGATGGTCTGTATTCAAGGAACGTTGGAATACTTGGTCTCCAGGGATCCGAACATGGAAGTGAATGGTGGTTACCTTTCATCAAGTGATTACTCAGCTAGAGCAGAGGAAATTTACCAAGAGGATGACAATGAAGATGATGAAGGGTTGCAATCCCTGCTCACTACATGGAGGGGGGCCAATCGATTTATCCTTGCAGGTTCTTCTCTCCCTTCAACCGTGTCTTATTTGTGCTACTCATGCATTTCCAATTCTTCTCGTGTACACGTTTTTTGTGAGTTGGATTACACTTATGTGAAGTTACTCTCATTCAGATAATCACGTTCGTATGGATTTGTGAAGATGTATACATACCTTGTCTGCCACCGTTTCCTCAACCTTGAGCTTTTGTGCAGGAATGTTTATTTTGGGCATAGGGGCAGGCATCACTGTGGACACAGTCCTCAATGTGGAGCCCAACAACGTAGCTTCTCGGGAAGTCATAGATCGACAAACTCCAAATCCAGACGTGTGTATAGCTAATGGAATGAGTGCTATGGTGCTTGACCAGCGTCTGTTCATCTCTTTCAACCCGTGAGTAGAATCTCTCTCTCTCTCTCTCTCTCTCTCTCTCTCTCTCTCTCTTCCTCCACCGCATCGTTTTCTCCTTTTTTTGTGCTCCTTGTTTTGTGTTGTAGTTTGAAAAACTCATCCAAGCAACACTCATGAACCCCCTTCTGTCACTGCTTGATTTGTTTTGGGCTTTTGGTAGGTTCAACGTTTATGTGTCACAGACAGAGGTGAAGCCCGGCTGTGTCTTGAGGCAAAGCAACTGGAGCGTGTTGGAACAGAGGGGCTTGGTGACCTCCGACGAAGTGCGAGCCTGCAAACGCAACATGAACACATTTGGCTTTGTTGGTGACCTCCGTCAAGCCCCAGAGATTTCATGTGTGTACCACAGCGAGAGCGCTGAGAACCAGTTCCTGAAGGATCCGTCCAAGGCTACTCTTGGAGATGGCTATCAACCCAAGGACTTCAACGAGTGAATCCCATGGCATGGATCAACCAAACCATCCATGCCGCTCTTCTCGAAGTTGAAACAGGCAGCTACTGCAGCAGTAAGTTGAAAATAGCATCTAACTATCCACCCTTCCTCACAGGGATGTATTGTTTTGTACCATATTTTTACTCAATATTGTATGCATTGTATCGTATATGAGCTTTAACACATGAGCTAGTAAACTTTGCTGCTTGTTGTACCGACAAGTGGATTTGTGTAACTGTTTGGCCACAGTGGCCATTTCTGGGCTGCGGCTACTTTTGTGCACATTTATTGCAAAGATTGAAAGAAGTTTCTTGTGGTCGTTCTTTCTGAACCTCTGTCGTGTTGAGTCTTGAGTCTTTCCTCTTGATTTGGTCAAGTTGAAACAGGTACATATTACTAGAGGTGCAGTTTGAAGATATGAACTCTGCTACTCTACAAACATGTTTTAAGAAAAATGGTATTAGATGTATATATATTTTCTTCCAGTTAATGCAACTATTTGGACACTTAAGGGCCTACATCTTTTTGATTAGCAAAATTAAAGTGCATAATTTTATGATGGTTATCATAAAAATAAAATTTGATTTTTTGCTCTAAAATTGTTGGAGTGATTTTTTGAACTGATCAAAAACCCCAAAAAATGAAAAAAAAATATATATATATAGAAAATATGTAGCAAGTGTGTTAAGATTCTGTTGGTGTTGAAGCATATGTTAAATCCCTGAGGGTTTAATATAAAAAACAATCTGTTTTTTTTTTTGTAAAATCAGTTAAAGTAAAGATGAAATGATATCAAAGCATTTAAAACAAAAAAACAAATTCAATACTTGTAACATGTATTGAATAATCCTCTAAATCTTGTGAAGAATACTTAATAAAGTAAAGTTTAATGAACAATGTTACTTTACAAAAGCAGTTGAACAAAAAGAAACCATGCTTGATAACCAGTCAAAACTTTATCATAAAATAAAAATGGCTAATAGAACATGACGTAATAACTCTTTATTTAAATCATTCTTGTATTTAAACCTACTTTTAGTTGTATTAACATTGTGGTAAATATAATATTCAAGTGAAAGATTAGAAATTTATCTTTCTATGCACTCACAAATTTATAAAATGTTAAAAATCTGCATAAATGATAATTTTTTAATATCTGAAAGTTGGAATCATAAGTCTTTGGTCTAAATTAAATATTTTAATACTAAATTTTAAGTTTAAAATTAATACATTGAATTTACAAAAAAATTATTAATAGAAAATATAAAAAATAAAAGAAATATTCATGTTATTTAAATTATGTAATAATTTACTATATAAATCAGGGTAAAAGGAGACGGTCTAAGGAAGTATTTGCGGCAAGAGGAAGACACGGAGCGAGTAGGTGTGATGGGGACACATCATTTACAGGACCACAAGGCTCGGTCAAAACTGATACCCTGCACATCGACTTACGCGGGTCCGGGGTTTAGGGTTTAGGCTCATCGAATTGGCGGTGCAGTGCTGATTGGTATGGATTTCGGAGCTTGGAGGTACCTCTGGCTCGCCGATTCAGCATTGCTGATGCTACCTAATTTAAGAAACTTCTGCATTGGGTTTTCGGGAAAGAATTCTGACGCCTGAGCCGCTAATTTGGTGGAGTTCAAGGTGATTGTTCCCTAAAGCGATCATCTGCTTGCAAAATTGTTGATGTGGTAGTGAATTTGAGAGATCGGTTCCGTGTCGACGAAGTTCAAGGTCAGTAATGGGAATGCGACGATGTTTAACAAGACTCAAGCATTTTATGGCGTACTCGAATGGCGTGTCCGCTTTGGGCAGTGGTGAATGTCAGCCCCTCTTGCAATTTTTATGGTTTCTGGAAATTGTGAGACTTGACATTTTTGTTGTTCTAAACTGACGATTGTATTGGGGTTTATTGGCTGAGTTCGAGAGTCGAATTTTCTCGTACATTTTTGAAGAATATGGCTGTCTTTATATTCTTCCATCGCATTGTATTCTGTGCTTGACGAGTTGAAAATCTTTTAGGTTGTGGTGGAAAATGGAGCGGAGTTGAGAATTTGAGGGCTGTGGCGGAAGTGTCGACGAGCACACGGTACGCCCATGATCAGTCTCAGTTGGCATAATCAATTTGGGTCTCATTGCACCAAGCAATCCATTTCCTGACTCTAAATTGCATCCGGTTCGAGATCTTGAGATGCTGCTCTGTGGAGTTGGTGATTCCCTTTTTGATGTGTACTTGAAATTGGGCTGGTTCAAGCGTAAATTATTTAAATTTTCAGGGTCGAGCAGCAGGCCAAGCCGTCGAGATTATCAATTAGACCGACCTCGTTTTTGCGGCCGGCAACAGTAAGCCCGCCTCTGGAGGTCCCGAAATACATACCTCGTCCCCCGTATGTTGGTGCTGCTGAGCCACCGGCACTGGCGGAAGAAATTCAAATTCATGACGAGGCGGGTGTTTCGGGAGTGCGAGAAGCAGGTCGACTTGCAGCGCTAATTCGTGACTATGTTGGATCATTAGTCCGGGTATGGTACTATCTGGTCTGTGGTCAAAGATGTTGATATCAGTTGTTTTACTCCTTTTTCCTGGAATCAAGCTGGAACATAAAGTTGCAGAAGGAGCTGCATTACTTAGTTCAAACTTCGAGCTTTCAACAAACGATTTTCCGTGATCCGGATTTAGTTTTCACATAAATTTGATTCAGTTATTAGTTGAGCTAATAGTGCATGCCAGGAAGTCTAATACCATCTTCATTGGCATTAGTTTCCAGAACTTGTCTTCGAGAATGTGAACCAATTCTCGCCAGCTGTATACTTGCAGGTGGGTCATGTCATTTAATTCGGTTCCCTGTCTTTTGGTCTCTTATCTATGCCGCGGTTCACTTGTGCACAGCCTGGAGTGACAACGGATGAATTAGATAAGGCTGCCCACGATGCCATTATTGATAGCGGTGCATACCCGTCACTGCTTGGCTTTGGTGGGTTTCCAAAGAGTGTGTCGACCTCTGTGAACGAGTGCATTTGCAATGGTATCCCTAACTCACGCCCTCTCCAGGTATGATCTCCTTGCCAGCGTATTTGAGTTTCTTCATTTATGATTTTGTTGACTTTTATGTGTTATATTCTGTACACTATTTGTAGGTTCAGTTGATATGAAAACCAGTCGGATCTATGTTATCTCTTCCATTTACCGAACTCCTGTGTGCGCAAACAAGTCATACACAAATACTTCCGACAGCATGGAATAGCGTGTACTGGTGTTCAAATCATGTGAGAATCTAGAGTTGTTGGTTTTGTTATAGTCTAGATTACATTCATGACCACTTACTAGCGCTTACCGGCAGTGTTGCAGAAAGGGGACATAATTAACATCGATATAAACATTTACTTGAATGTGAGTTACTGGGTATCTTTCAACTTTTTCTAATACATATCCACCGGAGGAGTGTTTCTTTGGATTGTGTTACGTGTGAGATTTACTAGTGGCGTAAGGGTGCATTGGTAATGGTTGGACTTTGATTGTAAATGTGTTGTGTGGTAGTGAGCTTACGACATTGGGATCAGAGGTTTGGGTTGGTGCAAAGTATGCTCCTGATTGGGTAGGGTGTTTTTGTTTAACCAATATTGGGAAATGCTGCTGAAGTACTGAGGCGTGTAGATTGTGTTAATTGATATCTCAAGGTTTTCATGAATATGCTGTCCCGCAGGGTTATCATGCTGAGACCTCAGAGACACATATCTGTGGCACTGTGGATGAGCATGTGAGGCAATTTGTTGAGGTAATTTTTATGAGCACAGGGCTACTCTCTTTTTTCATTCTTATCATGTAAGGCATCCTTTCAGCCGATCTTCAGAACATGCTTACCTCATGCAAATAGATGGAGAGGAGCCAGCAATTTGTACTGACTTCTTCTATGCTAGGAGTAGATCTTCAGATCTCAAGATCCCCTGTTTAACTACCTGTGGTGTAGTGCCTCTGCCCATGATTGTTTCGTCTTGAGTTATCAAGATGAAGTCCTATGTTTGAACTTGCTAACTGTTTTCTTTTGGAGCATCAGGTTGCAAGGGATTGCTTGAATACAGCTATTGCCATGTGTGGGCCGGGCATCGATTTTCGGGAGATAGGTGCCATCATCACGTGAGATCTAATTACCCTGATTTGCTAATTTGATTGGAGAATAATATTCTTATAGCATTGGTCGTCTTTAGTCAAGTGATTGTGGGGGAAACACAAAGTAAATTTCTGTTCATTTTATGTGCTGCATGTGCTAATGAATTGTACGCGTTGTGGGGTGACAAATGCAGTGACATTGCTGACGGTTGCAATTACCACGTAGTTGAACACGTTGCTGGGCATGGGGTGGGCTCCTTGTTTCATTCGGCTCCATTAATCTATCATTGCTGTAAGTAATTTTAATTTTAATTTTTTTAATTACCTTTTTCGTGAACCTTTCACAGAAAGTCTTGGCTTCTAACTGCTTAGATGTAAATTATCATATGAATCTCATCTATGTTCAGCTGTTTACTTATGAATCACATGTATGTGAAGTTTATTATTAATGTGGTGTAGTCGTTCCTAAAACCAGTCACCCGGTTTTTGACACTTCTAGATCGAGTGAGTGATTCCCAAGGTTGGTGTTTAACTTCGAAACATAAACTATAGTTCCTGGTTACAGTTCTGTGTATTTGATGCATACAATTCTCTGTTGAATGTGGCGCAGATAATTATAAATCCGGAAGGATGGTTGCTGGACAAACTTTTACCCTCGGTAAATATGTGACTCAAACTCGTATTTTTTGGGTTCCTTAAAGTGGAGGCCTAGTGATAGATGTGATTTTTAGCATGGATTCACATGTATATTAAGATACCTATTCTTCTGGTTGTTTGTAGAGCCAGCGCTTTCAATGGGCACTGAGAAGGCTTTACAATGGGAGGATATGTGGACGACGGTGACAGCTGATGGCAGCCTTTCAGCCCAATTCAAACATACCGTGCTCATTACTGAATCTGGGGCTGAAATTCTTACACCCAAAGAAGAAATGGACGAGGATGACAATGAGTAGAATGTGAATTTATTACAATGTGTTCAAATTGTATGGTCTGTTGTAACAGAGAATGATGTTCATTTTTGTATCTATTACATGTTCTTTGGCAACTTAAGCACGCCTTAGAATTCCTCAAGTTTCCATCTTAGACATGTGCTACCTTTATTCCTCATTCATGTGGAGGAAGGATGCGCTTGTGACCCCTCTTGGGATCCATCATTGGTATATTGCAGTTCTACCTCTACAATTTAGAGACCTGCAAAGCAATCCTTGAATTGTTTCAAATGTTCTCATTCCCGAGGAAGGGAATGATGTCGGCAAGCAACTCAAAATGCCACGACGATTACAGTCGATTACAGTTGAAAAGGTTCGAACTCAGTCTCAGACAGACATGAGACAGTATACTAGAGGGCTCAGGGTAGAAGCACACCCCAAATTGCTACGGGATGATACGGGATCTAACTTTCTCATACTATCTTTGCACTCAGTTTCACAGTCGGAATCGTGATCGCGCGAACGATGGAAATCAGAGCCAAGAAAAAGCACTAATTGTGAATAAAATTGGTGTACAATAGGATGACTCCCAAATATAACATTTGCAGATGACGTATTGATTCCGAGGCCTGTCTTGCTGCAAATAGCGCACAAGGTACCGAGCCATTGAAACGTCATCATAGAATGGTAATGGTGGGCTTGTCTACTACTTTCTCCTGGTGCAACCACGGTATCCTTTTTCTTCTCCGGAATCAGCTCGTCGTTCTACTTCAGCAGAATGAAGGTATGTGAACTCTATCAGATCCGCACAATCAGCGAACAGCTCACCCACGTAATATTAACTGTCTTGTCACTCTGTCGATGTTGGTTCTGAATCTCCGACTGCTGACTGTGCCTACTCTTGTTTGTTGCAAACCGAGGCTTGATCTAGTTCGTCAGATCAGACTCCAGGATCCTGGAGGATGTCCATACCTAGAGGCTCTTTGGTAGTAACAAGATTTTGGCTGCGTGCATTCTGATAATGGTTCTGAGAAAGGTGCCCGGCAGCAGTGATTGATGAAGACGACACAAGACATCACGAACATGAAGGTGTTACGACCCAAATGTTGCTCTGTAACACGATGGACCAGAGCAATTTTTGCGTTCCCGTGCGAGAAACCATGTGAAGGCCAGAGAGCAACTAGATCAGTCCAAGGCCGCAAATCATGCAACTAGAAAGTATATAGAAGGGTTAAGAGTCAACGATACGATGAACATAAGCAGTTCCTTTTGTTTCAGAAAAGTGTAGAGGGTCGATGATCTGATAGTTGTCATGATCGCACACCCAATGAAATAAGCAGTAGGGAAAACCAGGAGCATAGAGCTTACTGACGAAAAGGTCTCTTTATTTCGACAAATGCGATATTTACAAATAATGATCACCAGGGGTCAAAATTACTTTGAGCCCTTCAGAGACTGAGCGGCAGTTGAAATTTAGCTCCTGTAAGAGCTACATTGGATCGACAGGTTCACATTAAGCAAGCATCAGGCTTTATCTAAGCCCTATTCGTGAGATATTTGTCGATGAAGGTGTTCAGATCTTCTGGGATTCAAAAGTTCAATGCCGGTGAAATGTAGGGTATATGCACAAAACGAAAGTGTTCGGGGCCAGGAAGGCCTTAATTAAGCCTGCTGACTGAAAAGAAAATTCTTGGAAATCCAGTTCCTAGTAGAACAACCCCACAATTTTATTATCAGCTCGCCAACTCTTCACCTTTCGCTTGTGTTTGCCCCTTGAGGTTCTGATACAAGTAGCGACCGCTAAGCATGTCGATCACAACCCAAAAGCTAGATGATATTCCTGTCGTCACCTGCACAGTATCACTGATATATGAATAGGTGGAAACAATCATTGAATAAAGCATAAGATACACTTCAGAGTATGAGGTGGGCATGGCTCTTAGTACAGACAGATTACACACAAAAGTTGGATGCAATCGTCTGACTCACTGTTAAACCAGAACAGTGCATCGCAATCAGTTCCTAAGCTACTGGCCTTCCAAAACATGACAACATGGCTTGGATTCTCTCTCAGGATTACCACGGGAAATGTAATCTAACATCGCACACAGGTGGCGGAAAGGAGCGTAAAGGTTGAGCAGCGCAACGATCAAACTCCGCTGTACATACCTTGGTGGCTATGCTAGTCTGTTCCATCGCCTGCTCCGGCTCGTCCTCATCGACGCTTAGAATGCTGGAATTTCCTTGCTCTCGCACAGTCTTAAAAGCAAAGTAACCAGCCAGAATAGCAGAGAGGAAGAGCAAAATCACACGAAGAGGACACATCTTGTCCCGGTCTTAGAAAAACACTGCTAAAATCTACGTCCTCAGCCTGTTCCGCAGGAAAAAAATATACAATCGCCCTCCAAACCTCCCAAACCCTGGCACTGACCACCCTCCCGAAAAGACCTTCACCACGCCGACAAATTGCGCAAACAACTCCAACAATCCAACCTCAAGCTCCACTACACTCCAGCATCACCACAAAAAACTTATACTTCGACAGGACGAGGGGAGCTAATTGGCAACAACAAGAGACAACGCGCAAGAATGTCCTACAGCACCACACGAGCGAACGTCCTCACAACGCTTCCTCGTTCATACCCAAGACCCTGCAAAGGCCTTTCAAAGCTCCACACCGAGGACTAGACACACAAGAGGCGCGTGGTGTAGGACGGCATGCGCGTGATGACCATCCCAGGAAGATAAGAAATCAGCAGAAGAGATACGAACCAAAACACTAACATATCCCAGCAGTGTAACAGGAGAGCTCCTTCTACTCAACGACTTGAGCTGCAAAGTCCGCGACCTTTTGTCAAACAGTTCACGGAACCTTCAACGCGTGACAGCTGACCTGAAAGAAAGGCAGCAGAAAAAGAGAAACAAAAACCCAGCTTGGCAGGCTCAATTGCGGACAGTAGAAAACTGGTGGACAGTCAATCAATGGCCTGAAGGTTCTGGCCTCACGAGTTCCGATGCGGGATCGGAGGCGCGCTTTCCTACACCCACGCGGGCCCCGCCGTGCTTTGACTGTGGTATTTATGCTCTCTTTTTTTCTGTTTTTTTGTATGGGAAAATCACAATGCCTGGTCTTCCCTACCAACCGTTCTGGATAGTGCAGGAGCAGGATCTGATTGCTTGCAGAACCTAGTTCGTAAAAACAAAAAAAACTACCATGTTGAGACGATGAAGAAGTAGCAGAAACAAACACGTATGTTTCCTACGAGAGAGGCTAAACGGAGAGACCTGGAAACCCTAAAACTGGGGACTTGGGTTGTCCGTCGTCATTGAATTCACTGTTTTGGGTGTTTTGTTTTTTGTCTGTTTGTTCTGCTAATGGGGGTGGAAACCTGAATTTCGTAAATGTAGGTAGGAACAAAATGTGCCTAAAGTGAGGTAAGTTGGGTCAACACGTAGTTTTTCAGATTTGTTGGGTCTCTTTTAGATTACTAGGAAATGGTTATTTTGTACTTAGGGTTTTGGTTAAAATAACAAAAAGTGAAATTGTGTTGGATTATAAGTTGATGTGCTGTGGAGTTGAATTTGATAATTAATTAATTAATTTTTTTTTCATAGTTGATAACTTCTCTTGGACAAAACTTGTAAGTTGTCAAGATTAATATGAGATCATAAGAATTCTAAATTAGTCCTCTCTTGGTATTTGTGTTGTTTAGGTTTGTAAGTACTATCAATACATGATTTTTATTTAGTTATTTATATCAATTAGTTAATTTACATAGAAAAAGTTGGTACCATATTATTACACATGTTTCTAAATTATGATTACCATTTAGTTTATTGCAAATAGTTGATCTTTATCTTCTTCTTCTTTTTTCTTTTTTCCTTTTTTTTTTTTTTTTTTTTTTTTTTGTAGCTATCTTGGTATAAACTTACACTCTTATCTAAATTATATTCATTTTAAACAACTATATGTTTCATATTGTGAGGTTCTCTTCTTAAGATGGTTTAAAATAATTTTAACTTTGTATATGTCCTCAACTATATACTATATTACTCAGTAATAAAGGTTACATCTTCTTTATATTATCATTTAAATGATAATATAAAGAAGATGTAACCTTTATTAAGTACAAATCATAATTATTATTGCTAATATTATAACTTGTTGAATTTTCTCCTATGCTTAGTATTCTAAAAATATAATCAAACTCATATCCATTTTACTTGTATAAGAGACTTCAATCTACAACACATTGTTCACTCTTAATCCACTATATCGTATGTCTTTGTACAAATCTACTCTTCCTTTATATCCACTCTTTCAATTGTTAACAACTCATATTATCACTTAACTTATACTAATCTTCAAACTTTCTTTTCTAATTCACACCTAGAACTTCAACTCTTAACCTTAAATACTTAGAATATTAGCAAAATTTAAATTCTAATATATAAAGTAAATAAATTATATATATATATATATATATATATATATATACACATTAATTGTGATTGCTTTGTAATATTTATTACTATATAAAATCTATTGCAAATAATTATATATTTTAAAATAACAATGTAAAAATTTCTATTGGAATTAATTAATTAATTAATTTTAAAATCATATAATTTATTGTTAAACAAAAAATTAAATACTTAACAACATTTTCTAAGGCTACAATTGTTTTGATAAATCCATGAACTAAATTATTTAATATTTAAGTTTTTTTGATGAAAACTAAAAAAATATTTTAGATTTATCAAAACAAAGGTTAATTCTATATCTTTTAATCTAACTAAATTTTTATTTTAATTTTTAATCACTAATCATAAAAATTAAGATAACTTTGTAATATTTCAAATATAAGTTTTTATGATTGGTGATTAAAACACAAATATTAAATGTAGTACTGATTTAAAAACAAAAATACAAATAAAATATTGTTATTAAACGTAGTCCTGATCTAATTTTTTATTTTTTATTTTTATTCTTTATTGAAATACAAGAATATTGTATAAAAGCATAACAAAGTTATTCCAAACCTCTTTTATTACTAAAAAAAACTTACACAACCTTCAAATTAAAATAACTTTCTTCTACCACATTAAATGAATCTAATGTTTTTTTGGATTAACCTTATTAAATCTAAAAATCATAATAAAGTAATTACAGTGAATAAGTGTGAGTCTGATCATGAAAGTGATTTATTCATTTATTTCAAATCAGACACAATTGAAAATTATAGTGTCCGATCTGAAAGAAAAAAGAAAAAAGAAAAACATTTTTGATAAATTTAGAAAACAATTCTTAGGTAAATATTTAGAACATAAAATTGTTCTATAATGATACACATTCAGTGCTATTTTATACTGAATATACGCTTCTTTTTAGGTATTTTTATCCTTGTAATAATATATGTAAATTTTAACACACTTTTTTTAAAAATATATTTCTTACACACAAGACCTAAATTTTTTTATGATTTGAACATGAAACAAATAATTAAGAAAAGATCGTAAATTCCAAAAAAGACAGTGAATAATTTAATCAAAATATATGAGAACCTTCCATTGCACAAACGTTTGCAAATACAGTGAAAACATAACATCAACAATCAAAATTGTATCAAACATAAATTCAAAGAAAAGTGAAAAGTGTCTATTTTGAATTTCCATGCCTCATTTTCAAATGCACTGTATGGAATCAACACACAGGCATATTATTATACAAAAGAAAAACATTATTCTTTAGAAATTTGCATGATAAAAACATGGTGGCACCAGGAGTAAGTTCCTTCACAGCTGATTACTATGAACTAAGGATAAGTGCAGTATGATTTAGAAAGCACACAGTTAATATTACACAAAAATTAGGGCATAATTCCATTCATCAAAAGAACAACATATAAGTTAGAATCTTACTTATTTTTAAATCTAACTTTAACAAATGTTATATGACTTCCCATAAATAGGTTCATTTCTTCAAACATGGCTATAGCTTGCATGAATAATATGATTTTGTTCTTAAATTGTTCTTAACTTTGATATTTTTCTATAAAAATTTAGGTATTTTCAAATGACCATAGAAGGCCCCATTCTGTCATGGAGGTGTCCAATTGCAATCCAAGTGGACAACAAAGACCCAGATCTGCGATGGAAGTGTCTTATTGCAATGGAAATGGACAAAGAGAATGTCCTCAAAGGCCACCAGAAAAGCCTCGACCTTCTACGGCACATTCAATGTGTCCCACTTCGGCTGATAAGGAAGCCTTACTTGATGAGTTGCAAACCCTAAAAAATGCTTTTATGGATCAAGAGTACCACATGAAACTTCATATTCAACATGCTCTAGAGATTGAAAAAGAAAACAAGTATGTGTTGCATTTTAAAATTTTACTTTGACCCATCTTCATAACATGAATTGATGGCACAGATGTCCATTCAGTAGTTTTATAATAATTGATTTTTTATCTATTTATTTATTTATATTTCCTGGTACTATCAAAATAATAGAAAAAAAAAAAAAAAAAAATGACATTTTTGAAAAGAATACATTAAATGATTAAACTGCAGCTGGAAATCACAACAACTATATTCAATTATGAATACATTTTAGTTGTAATCTTCTTTTAAAAAAATGGGTTTATATTGGTAGGAATCTTGAAAATAGTGTTGAAAGTCTTGAATTAGCATTTGGATTAGAAGCTCCTCGGATGGGAGGGGAGTTCAGATTGATTGCAAAACTTTTAGGTATTGTATTATGATATCATGATTATTTTATCTTGTTTTAAAACGTTGAAAAAAATCATAATTCTTGCTAATAGATTTATATTAATAAATCAATCAATCAATCAATCATGCAAAGTTCAATCAAGATAATATATTAAATTCATACAATTTTACAATGGTGTATAATGCCACTATACAATTGCATTTGTAGTGTTTAGGTTTGAAAGCACGTTTGCGTGAGAAACAAATCATATGTAATAGTCAAGAAGTTGAAATTGGTTTACTTCGTAAAGACATACGTGTGACTCATTGCCGAGTAAAACTCTAAATATGTAATCAGTACTAGAAATGCATTTTGTGATATCCATAAAAATTAAATTAAAAAAAATTAAAAAAACCATCTTCATAATTCATATCAGATTTCTGATACACTTTCACAATTTTTTCTATTTAAAGTTCAGTGCACAGTTCATGCTCGTTTACAGTTTGATTTTCATATTAACTCTAAACAATTTGGCTAATTTTTATACACGGTATGTTTTATAAATGATGGTATTAATTGATATTATAAGTATAATGATACAATCTTGTCGTAGATAAATTCCTATCTGAAAGATGAAAACCGATATTTTCATACGAATTTTTTAGAATTTTTGTTTGTAATTTATTTTTTTAAAAAAACCTTCAAAAATTGAATATTTTCCTTTAAGATGATCAGGAACTTGAGATTGAACGCGATTTCTTTGCAAAAGAAGTTGGCACATTACAAAAAATCACAACAGGACTTCGGCGTATATTTGCCAAAGTCAGCAACGGAAACAAAGAAATCAGAAAATTACGTGAAAGGATCAAGATATTGAAAAGTTCACACGAAGAAACAAAGCAAAAAATAAACGTATGGCTTCGAAATGGAATGAAATACTATGTCATCAAGACTTTATCACTGAGCTAAAATTTTGTATAGCAGTATTATTGTTGGCAGTATCATCAACATATGATCATACACAGTTTGACTGATGTTTTCGAATTATACAAAGTTCATTGAAAATCTTCGCAGTTCACTAATACGCACACACACACACACACACACATATATATATATATATATATATATGTATATATGTCGCAGAAGTCACCACTGCTAGTAAATGTATGGATACACCAGTGAATCATGAGATCCTTCGAACTAAAACTCTATGACCACATGCTTCGGCGTTTCGTGATGTAGACTAGGAAGGAAAATATCCAGCAAGCGAAAACAGAGATCGAGGAATGGAACAAAGTGAGCTCGGAATCGAAATCAGCCGTGAAGAGTGTGGCATCGAAGCTCGCGGAGCTTCAGAGCCACTCCGAGGTGCTTACAAAACTGAAGCACCAGGTCGATTGCGAGACGAAGAGTTTTGAGCACCAGATTGCGAAGGCACAGGATGAGACTCGGTACATCGCCCGGGAGAAGATTGCAGCTCAGCGAAGAGCCGAATCTTCTCAACTTGTAGGGACCCCCAATGGAAGGATCAGTCCATCAGGGAGAGCCGGAAAGAGAATGAAGGTGCCCGATCGGCCCAGTTCGCCGAACGCAGATGCAATGGCGAAGCTGGAGCGGGAGTTTCTGCAGCAAGTCCAATCTGCCGCTGGTGAGTTCGTTGACACGGCTCCTGCATCTCAACCCCCGTCGCCTCGAAACGAGGATCAGCTCCAAGAACAACATCTCACCTTCGAGGCCCAACGAGAGTTTTTCACGAACAAAGTCGACGACGCCGAGACCCGGTTTCGGCAGGCTATGGAGGAGATTGAGTATGGGAAACCGAGATCGACACTGAGTGCACACGCTGAGGCGGCGAGGAAACTAGCCGCAGCGGAAGCCGCGCGACTGAAGGCTGAAGCTCTGGCGATAGAAGCACAGGAACAGGCGAGGAGGTTGGAGCATCAAGCGAAGAGAATTCAAGAGCAAGCTATGGAGCAGGAGACGAGGTTGCTTGATCAAACGAAGGGATTGCAGGCCGAATTGGACCGACTGAGGGCCATGGGATCAGGCGACAAGAGGTGGAAAAGCGAGAAGGTGACCATCATGGTGGGAGAGCTAGTTCTCCCGGTAAAAGACTACAACGTCCAAGTTAAAGACCACGGCGTAGAGATCGACGTCGACGTAGACATCCACCACACTACTGCATTCGGCAACGCCGACACCGCTCAACTAGCGGCTCTGAGGGACGAAAGAGCATCCGCGGAAGCTGAGGCGAGACGTCTAGACAGTCAACTAGAGCGGACACTGGAGGAGCGGGACAGACTAGCCATGGAACTCGCTGCGCTGCAAGGCATGAGCACGAAAAGCAAGCGATGGGAATCCGAGGTAGTATCAGTGGTTGTGGGAGGCAAGGCGCTTCCGCCATTGGGATATCAGCTCAAAGTTCGAGACGAAGGCTCCCAGCTCGTGATCGACGTACAAATCCCCAACGTCAGCGACGCAAGAAGCGCGGCACCGGTGGACGAAGTCACAACGAGCGCGAGCAATGCTTCAGATCAGCGAGCTCCTCTGCTAGACGATCAATCGAAGCAAGCCATCAACGCCAACATCCAGGATGTGTTGCAGTATCTAGAAAACATATCCGACGTAGTTTCATCGCATTCTTCTCCTTCTGGGCCCAGTTCCAGCAACGGCGATGGTACTGGCAACAGCTGAAGCGCAAGCTCATCGCCAAAGCTCTGCATGGTTTGCATGGGATTGGTGTAGCGTAAACATGCTTTTGCTTATAGGATTCCCAGGTACTTTTGCCCATTTTGCTTTCTTGCTTTTAGGGTTTGGGTTTGTGGGTTGCTCTTGCCAAGCTGCATCCTGTTGCTTTGGAGTTGCGTTGCGTGGTGAATCGATAGAGCGTTGGGTTTGCTTTTGTTGGCCATGGTTTTGATGCTCAAAGAAGTATAGCTATGTGGGGTTTTTGAGTGGTAGAAGAGGCTTATGTTGATACTATGCTTAAGTGTTTAATGCTCTTGGGTTTACCTGTTTGTGGTTTTTCTTATAAGGAATTGGGTCTTGCTTTTTCTAGCTCAAACATCAAGTGTATCTACAAATGAAGTTTTTTTTTAACTTTATCAACTTTTGATGAATAATGTGTGTGTGTGTGTGGTAATGCATATTAGATATCAGAGGTCAGTTTAAGATGTTAATGATTTATTTTTAAGGTTTAATTAGATTAATATGTTGAATGAATTTGAACTAACTAGATATGATTTTAGCCACATTGGATACTAAAAAAATTATCCAAACTTGAGCTTCTGAGTAATTGACTGTTGGAAATCAATCATACGAGTTGTGCTAGTCCAAATGTTGGAAAATATTCCTTGTTAATTAAAAATACATCATCGTCTGTGATTATGTGATTTTTCCTAGATTCTATGTAGCTTGTCTAACTTTCAGTTTTTTTAAAAAAATTAAAATATGTAATGTGTCGATAATATATAGTTTACAATTTACATGTATTTGATTTAATGAATACAGTTCAAATTAACATGACTAAAAAATACAACTTAAAACTGTGATGAACTTATATAATCAAACATAACCAAACGTAGTTGATTTGCATAATTAGATCCCAACAACCCTAAACCCTAAACAACTGAAGGAAAGATAAAAATAATAAGTTAAAGAATATATAAGTATATTTATTTCTGTGTCACAAACTTCTGGAAAAATCATGTGTATGGCTTGAGTACCAAATAAAATGAATAAAAAATGAAAAAATACTTCTAATAAACTGATTCAATAAAAAACATAACAAATAACTAAATAAATGATAATTCATGATAATAACCAAATTCTTTAACTTACAATACACATTAAAGTTTGAATAAATGCAGATTTTCTATGCTTTGCATGATTACGCATAGAATTTAAATTATATGTTATGATTATATTAATATATATATATATATATATTAGTATATTTATAATATATTATTATCAAAGAAATACTAAATTATTAAAAAAATCTTAAATTGATACTCTAATAAATATTAAAGGAGTTAAATCTTTGTGAATTAGTACTGAAAGAAATAAAATAAATTTTTATATTTATAAGGCATATTCATAAATTAAAACCTAAGATATGGTTTTTTAAAACTTAACATATCCAAAAATAAAACATAAAAAATAAAAAATCATGATGAATAATATATATATATATATATATATATATATTTGTGTGTGTAAAAATGTTAAAATGACCCACCCATTTACTAAATCAACCCATCCTACCTATTGTAATCATCACTAGAAAAATGGATTGTTTCTAGAGACCATTATTACAATCATGGCCCTCATTCCAAATTCCCTCATTCCCAACCATTGCTCTCTTTATTTGTAGCCTTCTTCATCTCAATCCTCCAAGTTCTCCTCTTTATGTTGTCAACTCTCATACAAATCTCCCTTGTTATTATAACATTTTCTTGTGTGTGTGTGTGTATATATATATATATATATATATTCTCAATATTAGTTTGTTAGACCTTGAAAATTTAGTTTTATAAATAAATCAATAATGTGGATATTTGTATATGTATGTAATTCATGTGAATTCAAATATCTTTTTTCAGGTATGTTTTTAAACAAGGTTTTTTAAAATATTATTTTTAATATATATATATATATATATATATATATTGAACGAATTTTTAGTACACAAATGAAGTTGTTGTGATCAGTGTGTATTAACTTAAATAGTAAGTGTGTGATGATACTAAGTGTTAACACTGCAAAAATAAAAACATAATAAAATAAATAAAACTATCACAATATTTTTATGAAAATAATGTTTGGATTGAGAAAAACATGGAGAACAGTTCTCTTAAATCCAGTTCATTGAATGAATAATATTTTTTAATGTTAAAATTTTGCTTTTTTAGATGACATTCTTAAAACAAATATCATTGTATTCTGATACCTCAAATTTATGAACTTTTAAAACTAGGAGGAAGTCTTTTAAAAAGCAATTGTTGCTTAAAATCAAAATTTGGATTTGTGTGCAAGTCTTATTGGATACAAACACAAACACCTAATGAGCTTTATATGAATGTATGAAATATTTTCCTTTTAAATCCAAAAAATATATTATTTTAAAATTTTGTAATAGAAATACAGTCTACAATAGTCTTTTAACATCTGCAATTTTTTTCACACACAATAACTGTGAAAATAAGTGTTTGTTGGATTTTTTTTCCGATTCTAACATGGATTATCCAATATTTCCCATCTAATAACTCAATTTCTTCTGATTTTTCATGCTAAGTTGCCAAAGATTTTGAATTCTGTAAAACATGACATTCAGTATTCGCACAGATATAACATGTATGTCGATTGTTCAACTTACAGGTTTAGAATACCTACTACATTATTACTAATACTGTGAAAAACATCCCAATGATTTGTTATGATGAATCTAGTTTAATTTTAATCAAACCAAAATCATAAGTCTTTCTACATTCAAATTACAAAAAAATTTCATAATTATCATTTGAGTATTTTAAGGGAAAATTTACAAACACGAGATTTGACCTGATTAAAATAATTAACGAGGTACTCAATTTTTTTTAAAGATTTTGTATTTGATTGACCAAGAAACACTCATTAATAAAAATGAATTAAAATACAGTTGTATGATCTCACAAACAGTTATTTAATATGATTCTTTTGTTTTTTCATTTTTAAAAAGTAAAGGTATGCACGATTCTACTAAAATATATCATCGATATGATAATGTTCTATATTTTTTTCAAATATGTATTATCAATTATTAAAAAATTAGGGTTGTATTCTGAAATGATTTCAAACTTAAACAAAATTTGCATACATGTTTAGATCATGAAATATATTATGCAGTGTATGTAATCTATTTGGTCAAAATACTCTGATTTCCTAATACGAAGTTATTTACAACTGAACACAATTTTCTTATACTGTCACGAATGAAATGAAGTTTTGTCAGAAAATGTTAAGGAGATAAATTTGACTCTATCATTGTCAAAAAAATTGAGTGATGTTACGATGTTCTGGTTTGTAAATTGCTTTGTAACTTTTGTACACTAAAAAAATAATAATAATAATAATAATGTATTTTACTTCAAAATGATGTTGTTTGGATCAGAAATGAAAGTATTTGACAGAGCTTCTCACAATGAAAATTAGGTTTTATTCAAGTTCAAAACATGTGAAAATGTACAGTTTTCATGATATAATTCACCCGCAGAAACTTCCTCTAAAGTCAACAAAGTAATATTTTATAGGATAAAAACGTTAATAATCATGCCCAGAGCTCTGGCAACACCTAAATCAGCCATGACCCAACTCAGGCTCCCACCTGAGTTTACTATTATCCTACCTGCTCATCAACTTGTATTATTTCAGACTTTGATATTTTCTGATATGTTTTATTCAAAAATATGCACCCAATTCATTTTATTGATTATATTAGTACCAATGCAAGAAATTGAATGTGAATGTGTAATGAGAGTAAAACAGAATAACAACCTGTTCCTCCTAATTTACACTCTCTATACCTTACTCATAACAGTCAATGCAAGCAGTAAATTTGTAGTGATATTAATATGTATGTATATATATATATATATATAAGAAATAAAATATCAAATAAATTCTTGCAGCTCTATCCATTATTAATTGCGGTCTCAACTACACTAGGATTTTCTGGATTTTTGATAAGCCGCAATTTGTCAATCAATCCAGATGTTAGGTGTGAATTATGAACGCTTTTTTGACTTTGCTAATCATTCTACATAATGTTATTAAGTAGAGGGATGCAAATTCAAACTGAAGATACTATTCTTTGTATGAATATAAAAGTATTAGTTTTTTCTATTTATAACAAAAGCATGATATTAATTTATAGTTGAAAAATAAAAATTCATCAAGTTTTAAATTACGTCTTTGACTTCAGAAAATAATAACTGATTGTTTATAAAATGTGTAATGATCATAATTTTTTTTATTAATATTAAATGATCAGTATTTTATGTTTTAATTTGATTTTGTATTTTGGTTATTTTGCAAAGTGAGAAAAAGATGTGAGCTTGGAACATATAAGGCATGCTATCATTTTATATGATATTAATTAAAAAAACTGGTGTTAATTTGTAATTAATATTTTTATTTAAAATGATTATTTTAGAATCAACAAAGATTATCATCTTGCCGGAATACTTAAAAATTACAAAGAAGGAAAAAGATACTATCATCATCAACTAAGAAGTTTTATTTTAAAGAAGATTGCTAACTTTTAGCTTTTACTTCTAATATATATAAAAAAGTTATATGTGCACATATATATATATATATATATATATATATATCTATTATATAAGATAATTTAGATGTAATACAAAGAGACAAAGAAGTCTTTTGATTAGCTGTGACAAAGGAAACTTGGGGAACATGGGAACATGAAAATTAGAGAACATAGAAACCAAAGGGCATGGATGAATTAGAAAATGGATGGATGTGCCAAAGATTAAAGTGCCTAAAAATAGGTTTTTGCTAGTATATATATATATATATATATATATACACACACAATCACAAAAACCATTAAAATTAAAAGTTGATTGCAAATAAGAATTTAATTATTTGTAATGTAAAAATAATATATTCAGAATTAAAAGGCGCATCATAACCTTAATTATAACTCTAAAAAATATAAATAAACATTGTTCATTAAAATAGAGGCTTGTTGTTTACATAAAAATATGACTGTAATCTTGAACCTATTTGATTTTTTGATCAAATATATTTTACATCCAACTTCTTATAAAAAGTGGAAAAGGTAAGAAATAACATATTTAGCAAAATTTTAATAACATATGCAACATAAACGTAATATTTTATTATTTTATTATTTTATTTAATATTATTAAACAAATGATTTAGTTTTAAATTTTAATTTGGAACCATTAGATTTTTAAAAAATTATGTGATTAAATTGATAGAATGAAAAATATACTTTAGACAAAAAGAAAAAAAAAAAAAATGATGATTAAAAGAATATAAACACCTATTATCTTCTTCTTCTTCCCTTTTTTTTTTTTTTTTTTTTCCTTCTTCTTTTTCTTCTACTCTTATCTTATGTACTATACTTTGGAATTTTATTGTATTATAGGTGATTGTTGTTGTAATTAAAATGCCTTTTATTCCAAAATTTATTGTATAAAGGATACATGATACATGTCTAATTATCCAAGTGGTCAATTACACAATATCAACAACCTTTGCTTCGTTAACCTACAAATTCCCAAACAATAGTTTCACCTTAATTAATTTCTTCTAAAACTTAATGTGTTATGTGTGGTTTGTGTTTTGTGTGTCATGTTTTGAAGAGTTAAATTCCAGTTTGTCTTCGTGGTGTGAATTCCATAAACCCGGAGCTTTTCTGCAGCAGCATGGCATGACGCTGGAGGAGGAGGTCGCAATTGTGCTGCTCGTCATGGATTCTCGACGGTGATTGTCTCACTCGGTTCTTAACAAGTTGAGCTTTGAGCTCTGTTTTGTGTGTCTGTGTGTTTCGTTTCGTTTTTCTTCTAGAATTGAGTACAAAGTCGAGGTGGGTCGAAGTGATGGGTGTTGAGTGAGGGGTCTTTCAGAGAGGACGATTGTTGGGTTCCTCGTAATCTTCCTGCAATCCCCTCACACGGATCGTTGAACAAGCAGCTTTGCTGAATCACGCAAGGCAGTGGTGATTTTGGATAATTTGGGGTTGTGGTGATTCAAGGAGCTTTCATTTTAAGATTTATTGAAGAATTTTATCTGGGTTGGATAGCTGCCGTGTGATTCATCTGCGGGATTAGAATTTCTGCGCTAGATATGCCTGTGGTGTTCTTCTCAACTCACACATGTTGATTTCAAGGTTTGCTGATAGTATGGCAGCTTGCAGAGTTGGATGTAACTTTAGTGAAGGAATTTGTGAAGGAATCGACAGTTGGTTTCATTTGTCTTCATTTTTCACTTTTTTTCAAAAAAATTATGAATTCTTCTGCTTTGCGTGGTTTGCTCAACTTGTTATGAAAGACCAGAAATCCGAATTGGGGTATTTGTAATCTAGAACAGCATTGATAGGGTTTTGTATCGTTTTTGTCAAACTCTACCCAACGCTAGTTTTCGCAATTCAGGATATGTTGCCAATGTTTGAATGTATCGGTGTACTGGGTGCTCACTAAACATGTGTAGTGTGATTTGCTACATGTTTAGACTATAGTTTGTCCCAGTCTTCTGTTTGCTGCGTCAGTCATGTGTGTGCCAAACTCCTTCAGTTATCTTGATGAAAATTATACAACGTTTTATGCTTTTAGGTGAGGACAGACCTCTTAAGTTGAACGATGAATCCCAATGTGGACCTGCCAGGAATGGAGGCTTATCGATCAAGCCAAGCTAATCTTTCGCCAAGTGTGCTTGTTATAGCTTTTGATCCTTTCCTACCCCTCGTAAGGATCCCAGTACCTGTTGGGAGAGATGAGGATTCTTCCAAGGGACCTTACGTGCTCGCATTCCGAAATGAGGAGACTTGGCGTCAAGCTTGGAAAACCTGCAAGGAAAAAATTGCTACTCAATGTGAAGCAGGAGCAAAAGTGGGTTGCTCCGTAAGCGCTGCCATGGCGTGCAGACAACCCTGGTGGAAGTCTTACCTTCCCTTCTCTGGCTCAGGTACTTACTCTAAATATTTATTCTCATCTGCTGACATGCTAAATCATCATGTGCTATAATAACATCTTCTCCTAAGCTTTGCAGCCATTCAATTTTGTTGAAAGGTTTTCCAGAAATGAATGAATGGTTGCCTGCTTATTCGATTTCTTAGGGGTTAATGATCCAATTTTTTCTGGCGAATCATCTGTTGCTTTCAGGGCTCTTTGTGACTACTTTAGTTTTTTCAACCCAGGATCCGATGACCAATTCAGAAGGCAGGATTGCGAGGGCAGAGAGATGCGAGGCTGCCTGTTATCCTCTCACGAACGCTGCTTCACGTTCGCTCGCGAAATTTGTGACCCAGTCTATGCCAACATGAGAATTGCAGTGCCCGGTGCACCGATCGAGATCCGCTTCAGCGGTAGGCCGAAAGTGAGTACCCACGACGAGGTCCCTTCCCTGGCCACATCTCCTGGTAATTCAGAACCTGCTAATCTGGACCAGAAGAGCTTTAGATTACCCCGAACAACTTTTCGGGCCCGAGAACTGATGCAACATGAGCACAGAGTCGATTTTAGGAAAAGAATAGCGTATTGGACCTCCCCTAAACATTCACGTGAAGGTACCTTGGGGTCGTCTCCGAAGGAGGGCCGGGTAGGAGGCCTTGTGCATCCTGCTTCCAGAGATGGCCCTCTTCAACCTGAGATGGAGAATCCAGCCTCCAAAGGCCCAATCTATATTGCATCGGAGTGGTTGCAGGAGCTGCAGAGATCTGTGATGAAGAAGCTCAGCTCTTGATATTTGTAAAGATCGTAGAAGCGATGCAAGGTATGGTACATTTTCTCTTTAATTTGAGATAAGTAACAGTAAATCAATGTTGGAGATTGGCATCGGGATGATTGCGGATGTCTTTTGGTTTATTAGATGCCTTTTAGCGAGAAGGAAGTTTCATGACTTGCTTAATTTGTATGTCATGGCGCACTTTTGTTTCCTCCCTTCGAACACTTCAATCCCAATCCTGGATTTAGAGGCTGTTTCTATAATATCCTCTTAGTTGCAGAGCTGCCACAGTGATTACAATTGTCTAGGCAGTTTGATGGTGGATAGCCGCTGAAGTTTAGATTCAGAACAGCCTTTACGAAAACAAACTCTAGTCGATTTAACGTAATTAGGTCTAATTACATGGAGGTGAACTCAAGATTACACCCCACTCTGGGTTCTTAATGTACGTTGTCAGTAAATTGCAGTTGTTTTGCATGCACTCATTAGATGCTGATCTCAGTCTTGTACAGAGAAGACATCTACTTGGGGATAATGATGTCCAGCTTGGGATCTTGGATTAAAGGACTGATTCTTACCAGAAATAGTCAATGTGATAATATGATCCAACAGAATAGTCCTTGTTTTCCACTTTGTCCATGAAAACTGAAGGATACCTATTGTCTGTGATTTTGTGTCCAACTGGCCAAAGCTTTTCTGCTTTCAGTTTTAAAATAGCTTCTCACTTTTAGTTTTATGTTTACGTCGAGCTACCTATAGGTTCTCTCTCCTACTGGAACGCTGTTCTATGGATCAGAGAAGACGTTGTAAGCTTTCCTCCACTTGACTCATCCATTGTGAAGTTGGATGCTTGGGTGAGTTCATGCTAAGAATGAGGTTGATTGAAAAACACGCTGTGGATCGCGTGCCTACAACGAAAGTGATAGCTAGTCTGTGTTATTTGAGTGTCATGCATCAGTACACGACGGTTGTTGACAGGACAAAATAATAGAGAATGTAGAAAAAGACCGTAGTAAGAAAATAGCGAGTTCACAATCAGGAGATTCAGGCCACTGCTCTGTGGAATTGAGATTTCCTCCCAAGCCAAGGAAACGGATTAACCACGTCAGAGACCGAACCTCACATGTGGACGGACTACGCATCGACGAAAATCCAGATGCAGGTTTACAAGAGACGAGGATCCTGAACTATTTTGTACATCGAAAATAGATATTCTGACTTTTGAAAAAACAACCAGGTGAACCTTACTTCACAGGACATGAGCTTGTGTGAGTACAGATTGTTCAGAGACCGAACAATCGTTGTGATGATGACATAAAGTACAGTGGCACAGTTGAACATAAGAATTTGACAAGTCGCTAGTTTCACCAGATCGCATGGGACCCTTGAGCATCAGTTCTCGCAGAGTGCACGGGAGTTTGCAAGTAAGTTAACCTCAGCATTATTCAATTCAAAGAAAAAAGAATTCCAAAATATAAGAACTATGAACCTGGGAATGCAGGCCTGCAGTGATTGCAATGATTCATTCGACGTCAAAACATTCTGAGCATAAAGCTGCGTCGCAGGGCTTGATGGTTGGGCTGTGACATTATCTAAGGTCGCCAAAAGGGTCGACGTACTGATGCAGCCGTCGTCCCTGCTGAATCGCTGTCAGAGTGTGAAGCGGGGACTTGCTTTTGCATATGATGGGCTTGAGAATTTCCGTATGTATGAAGATTAGCCTTAATGGTTTCCTTCAAAGAATTAGGATTGGACTTCCTAAGCTGTAAGCCGTTCTGCGACCTCGATTTCGGGCCTGCAAACGGAGAAGCCAAGCGGTACAATGCAGGCAAAGGTCCAGCACAGCTTCCCACGCTCTCCTGATAATCATCCTGCTTTTCATTTTCGTCCTCATCAAATTTAAGCTTCCGGACGCCGAATGATGTCTTAGTCATGGACAATTCGTCGCTGATCTGGCTGGCAACACAACTGTCGTCAGTGTTGGACATATCTTGTCTCTTTGCACGCTCAGTCTCGGTCATCTTCTGCTGTGAATGTCGTGGCAGAAGAATTTCTGGGGATCCACCTCCACCTGCTTTTCTCAGTGGGCTAGGTCTCACGAGAGATTCCTTTGGTTGCAGCAGCCCTGCAGCATGTTGTTGCCGAAGCGAGAGTGGCCATGGATATGTCATCGGGCATTGGAGGTCCACATCTGCACTCCCAATCTCGGTGGTACATATCCCAATCGTGCTTTTGACAGAAAGGCTGTTGCTAACTGATTCATCTTTGTCGAAATCATTATCAAAAACCCTGTTCGGAGAATTGTGCGCTCCCATTCTTGCAGCTCGTTCTAACCAGTTCCACACCCACCCAGGCTTGTCAGGAAACGTATTGTCAACGATCCATGCAGGAGCTTTCTGTGACCTTGACCCAGTTTTCCAATGTTGTCGCGACATGGCATACTCCATCGCTCGCTCGCGTTTCAGGGCCGCCTCTTGCTTGCTTTTAAGAATCGCCTGACAATCTTGCGCCGTTCGGAGGCTTCCATTCCAGCTCTTGCTCACTTGCTCCATTCCGGTTCTTGCTCTTCGAGCTGCAATACGCTTTTGCGGCTTCGTTCTCGATATCTGTGTGCTAACAGATGGTGCTTCCTCAACCTCGTTCTGTGTGGTTTCCCCGCTTGGGTTCTTAGCCCGGACTAACTCAATCGCATATCTTTTACGATCTCTGTGGCCTCGAAATGCAGCTTGTATCTTTACAGCAGCCAAGACTCTCTCCCTCTCGCTGCAGCTCTTATCTTTCCGTGCACTAGTACTTATGAAAGTCGGCTTGGCGTTTTGTCCATCATTTTCCCTCGGATCCGAGAATGCAACAGTTGTCGCCAATGGGGTCTTCTCTGTGGCCGATCCGGGATTGCCTTCCATCGGAATAGAAGGACAAGGTTTATAATCTACTTTTGAAGCACGGGATCCCCGTGATCCTTTCCTGTCAAGAAAAGGAGTAATCTTTGTCAATTGTGCAGCCTTCTTCAGAGTCCCTTGTGTCACCATGCCTGAAAGCTTACTTGTGGCAACAGCCGGGAACAGAGCCTGAGAGGAGGACTTCATCCTTGTGAACCGGCTCGTTGGAGATGGGCCTTCTTGTTGCTTGGTTTTTTCGTCCACGTGTAATGGCTCTGAAATAAGATTGGTCTTGGCAGCAGTAAGCGATGACGAGCCACTCAGAGGGTTCCGTTGCACGCTGAGAAGTGGCCCTGAGAAGTACTTCTTCAACTTCACTGGAGAAGCAAGATTGTTTTTCATAGGTTCCCCTTCGGACGAGTGCCTTACCGTCAAAAGCGGCCCCGATTTGTGCTTTTCATTAGCCTTCAGAGATTCCAGACGAGACAATACAAGCGGTAATGGCATGGACGCCGTTGTGGCCTTTGCAGAAGCTGGAGCAAGATGTGGTAAACTCTTGACATACTGCAGCTTTCTTGGCTTGAACTTTGAACCCGCACAAAGGGGTAGAGCGGATTCCAATGATTTCCGATGGGGAGTTTGCGACTCGGGAGTTGTCAGAAGGTGTTTCACATGAGTAACATTGAAAGATTTACGTCTGAAGAAAGACGAGTGTGATGTGTCCTTGACGGGAGGGGAGATATGAATCTCCTGCGACAGCTTAAAACCCTCAGAAAGGTCATCTCTATCGTGTGTCTCCAGTGAAAGCGTCTCATACTGGCAACAGGTTTGAAGCTGTTTTCTCACCACGGAAGCCGCCGACGTCGTCTTCTTCCTCATGTTACCAGATGGCTATTTCCTGTGAACACTCATTTCTTCACAGTACTCATGTTTTTGTTGTTCCCCATTCTACCTCTCCATCATCGATCATTGTGGCCTAACTTGCTCGGGTCCGTTGGTGTGAATTGGAGGGATTTCATGCAAAGAGACGTAATTCTCAGGCCGGTATTCACCAGCAATATAGCGACTTGAACGACACCGTATCAACTTCTCATCCGAGTCGCCTGCACAACTTGAGGAGGAAAACAAATTACTGCAAGGAACGCGAAGTCGATGCCACGGCGAACCATTCTGCGAAATCGTGCTAAGCAATCACTTCCACTGCCTTTTAACGCAGAGAGATAGGATTTTTCTCGATACGATGAAAATCATTCAAGATAGAAAACTACCTGCAGCACTAAGATGATACTTTTCTACAAGAGGATTCCGAGGCAGAGAAAATTGTACTTGTTACAATTTAAAACTTCGACTGTTTAGGACTTCATCCACCACTATTCAGCAGAAAAGCCACTTCTACCCTAGAACCAAAGGTGGCATAGTCATGGATGTTCGTAAGTGGCACACATTCTATAAAGCCAGAAAACTTGGAGGACCTAAATTTGACAATGTCCTCGTCGTTGCCATAGCTGAAATGAGGCAAAGAAAAGTATGCGCTCAGCAAAGAGAGCCATAGGCCAACTTTTCCTCTCATCAGTGACTGTCATGAGTCGATAGAGAAGAATGGCAGAGAGTGGAGTTGAACCCGAAAGTACTAGCATACCTTTCATGCTTGTGCTTTAATCTGAAGAATGCTCGCTTTGAACCTTGCAGTTAAGAGAACCGATGCATGCATGTCACCCTTGTCACTTGATTAACGAAACAGGACAAAGCTTCCACCTCTTCCCTGTCACAGAATTCCTGAGCTGAGAGCTGAAGGATCGTTGGGCAAAGTTTCTATAACACTGAAGCTAACTCTCCCTCAGGTAGAACCGAAGTTCGAAGGCAGAAACAATAAAATGCTATCCAGAGTACAACATAGAGCTTGATTAAAAACTCGCCCTCAAAATGTACAGTGCTGAACAGGCACTCCCCACAAACCCTGCTCGCTACGTTCACTGGAGATCAACAAAACAAATATCGCATATCTAGTGGCCCTTTCGACCTGGATCTAGGAAGATTCTGACTAATATATGAACTGACAATCACGTCTCATTCACTCCGCTATTTCACCTCCGAGGTCAAAGCCATATTGCGTGCATCCCCGAGGACACACCACTGACCTTACACAAACTTCGCACCGCATCTGAAACTCCTTTGCATTCCCTCCTCCTGTTACGTCCTCAGACCTTCTCCACATCGAATGCACGCGATCACCTTCTTCAAGATATTATTGCCATTTCTCCTTCTATTCCTAACACCAACACTTCAACAGAATCTTCATCACTCGCCTCGCTTCCAGCCAAGTGTGGAACATTCTACATGAAAAATCCTGCGACACACTAATGCGCAACAGGGGAAGAGAAAGAACGCACCCCATCTCACGAGTTTCCACCTCACTCTAACTCTCTCCCTCTCTCTCTCACCCGCTCTATTGCTCGCCACAGCGTTGTCATACTCTGAAACGTCAGGAATTGTTTTGGTAACGCTGATCGTGGCGAGAGCCTCTGCAGGTCCTCCTCTGTGTGTGGGTCTCCCTGCAAATCTCACCACCGGGCTGGCTACTGTATCATAATGAAAATGAAAGACTGGCCTCGCCTCGCCTCGCCTTGCCTTCGCCCTAATCCAATTACTCAGTACAGTCTCGGAATTATTCAACGACATGTGTATGTCAAGATGGTTATTACGTATTTGATCGAGTTCAACCTCCCCTTCCCGATGCAGGCATTCGGGGCCCATGTAGAACAGGGTGCGAATCGAGCGACAGTGGCACACGACGCTGGTCACACTCCCAAACCCACACACAGCTCCTCCCCCCACTTAAAAACTCCATGCCATCCTAGAATTCTGCCGTGTATTGCGTAGCAGATGGACCACGGTACGAATACAGTGAGAGAGAGCGATGGTGGGGACAAGCGGCGATACTACTCACCACCGAATGAGTGCTGGCGAGTGTAGCTCTTTTGGAACACGAGAGCACCTCCTCGTGTGAGGGTGACTTGACCTCCTCCCTGGTTTTGACATTGGGAAGCAAAGGCGAGTGCCGTGGTGGGGTCTGTCTGTCTTGTGCCGCTGTGCCAGGCAGCAGCATGGGGGAATTCATAAAATTATTGGAGTCCCACCCGGAACAATTATCCACCCCACCACCATGATTCCATCGTCGTAGCTGCTGCTGCACAAGTCGCCGCCGATCTGCGTGGGGTCGTTATTGGATGGGGCAGGAAGCCGATGATTCCATCCCCCACCTCGTTCCCCCCCTCGGCACATGAGATGCTGTGCATCTCATTGCGGCGAGCGAGAGTCTGCAACACGAGCTTCACGTCTCCGGGCTCTGCCGGCAACGAGAGTGATAAAGGCTGCGAGACTGGCTTTGGCAGATGCTGAGTATCGAACCCGAGTTCTTACTGTCGCGCTCCCCATCGTCGAGCCTTGCCTGTGAAGCGGTGAGAGTGAAACATGACGCCCACTGGGGCCTCCAAATCCATGCTTCAGGGAGTATCGAACCCATGATCTCACGGACGAGCTGTACTGTGCAGTTCGACGCGGTAGGGTGGCAAGCATGAAGCGAAGCCAAACGTCTGAACATTTACTGCTGCAATTTGTTCATCTGTGAGTTTAATTTTTAAATTTACTAGAAAAAATATTAAGGATTTTGAACGTCCTCGAGAATTACTTCAGAATATTAAGATTTTTTTCTAGTAATTTACTAGACAAAGAGTTAAACTGTCACTGCTGATGAACAGTATTAAAAGGAAATGTCTCAGTTGAATACAGACATTAGCTTTTTACAAGTTTCGAATCTTTTGATTTATTTCTACTTTTCTGAGAGAATGATATATTTTATGAATGCAACTTTTAAATGCTTTTTTTTGGGTGTTTTAAAGGTTGATTTATCAAATTGAGTCGTGTAAATGCTTGATGTTTTCAATCTTCATGAGCCGAACTCATGGAGAGGCACCTTTCATAATCCTTTTTCGGGTTGTGTTTATGAGCAGAATTTTCATGTGAAAATAAACATCAGATTTTTAAAATTATATATGTATGTATGTATGTATGTGTGTGTGTGTATGTATGTATGTATAGTAGCATTTGTTTGCTAAGAAAACACACTAAGTGTTTGTCTTTGTAAAAAAATAAAGAAACTAATAATATTAATAATCATAGTTAATAAGTAAATGTAATAATTTCTTACACCATAATCATCAATATCCTACATGCAAAATAAACAAGTCTCAATATTTTCAAACACCGGATTTTTTTAAAAGAACAACCTTTCACCAAAGAACTTAAAATCAATGCATTAGTTGCAGAATATGCATAAAATTTTATATCACATAAACTATTCCTTATATATATATATATATATATATGTGTGTGTGTGTGTGTGTGTGTGTGCAGTCACATATAGTTTATTTTTAAAGTATAATATAATATAATGTAATATAATTTTTGATTTATTTTAACCAACATAGTGAACAAAAATTTACAAAAATTCGTACCAAATTTATAGGTTTTTCAGACCAATTACAATTTTAAAAATTTTGAAATTGAAAACAATAAAATAACATTAAGTTTTATTTATTAGATTTTGTAAGTTGTTTATTTAATAGTTTGTTTACTAAAAAAAATACTGTAATCTTCTTTTGTCAAGAATCTGATTGAATATTTCAATCCTAATTTTAAAATGAATAGTGATACCAAAATCTATAATAAAATTTTATACAACATTTCATCTACTCATTGATTAACAACACTTTGAATCGAAACATTTATATTTGAATATAATTAATCATCTGTAATGTCCTGATCTCAAGTCTCAGAGATTTTAGTTAGAAATCTAATTCATCTTAATCGTGCATCATATTCAGGGTTATAATTAACATAGTTATATTGCACATTGATCTTACTATCCTTCAATTCCAGTAATATTGTAAAGATCATGGTTGCTTTTAGCCATGATTTTTAGTCTACATGCATACCTCAATAGATATTATGTCAATACTCTCTTAAAACATATAATTCATCAGCATATATATATATATATATATATATATCATTTTGGGGTTAGGATTTGTAATACTTGAAATAAAAATCACATCATAATCAAGACATCCGCACAGCTATAAAATCTGTTAACTTATTCCTTGAGGAACGTGTTTTTATTTAATTAATTAACTTCTCTTAGGAAGTTGATTCTTTTGGTTCAAAGCCAATTGGTAGGGTGGGATTTTGCAAACCAATTATAATTTCGAACACAAGTTCTTGTTATGTATATTATATTTCTTTGTATGTTGCATTTTCCGATAATTTTCCGATAATTTTTTCTTGCAAAAAAATAAAAATAAAAAGTGCTCTACGTGATATGTAGACCTTTTTAGTTAAGAGGAGTTTTGATGCACAATTTTTTTGTATATGATTTATTATTTTTATATTATAATTTCTTCAAGTTTTACTTTAACATCTGAAACATTGATTCTCAAATTCACCATTACTATAAAAAAATTCGTAAATAAAGAACAACTGCATGAACTTTTATCCCTCTTTTTAAGGAGGATTTTCAACACATTTTAGGTTACAACTATTTTTATATTTTTTATGAATGAATGTAGACATTTTTGTAATGTATAAAAAGGATGTATATACTTTGTTAAAGTTTAGGTTTAGAAATATATCTCAAAATTTTCATTTTATACATTCTGTTTAATGAGGATATATGAAAGTAGCAAAATCTTTGACATAAACATGTTTGGATTCGAACAGAAGACAACCCTAGAAAAAACTGGATGGAAATATTTTTAAGGATATTGGGGAAGTGCATTCCAAAGGGTATAAAAATGCACATGATTTGGATCAAAATATTGCAAACATCTTCTATAATGCCACTGTGCAAAATCACATTGAAATAATTATAAAAAACAAAGAATGTTATCACGGATTTCATTTGCAATGGTTTCTATTTCTTACACTAAAATTACACCTTTGTTATTATGAGGTACTAGCTTCAAGTGGATTGAAATTGTTGAATCCTCACAATTAATCTTTCTATGAAAAAACATTCTTTTCAAGATTGTATTAAAATTAGTTTGAAATGTGAATCTTATATATATACTTATAAATATATTCACATTAACAAAGATGAAAGAGACAGTTTGTGGACCAAATCAATGTCTTCCCACAACGCTTGCATTTGAGAAAGAGAAAGCAATGCCGCACAATTTTATGAGGGATTTAGCGGAAGGTTTCATTGTTGTGAAGACACGTTCATCTACGGGGAGCCTTTTGAAGTGCCATGGATCAAGGCAAGTATCTCGTGGAAATGACCCATTGCATGGGATAAGTGTTTTGGTTGGCACACGCGATGCAATCCACAATTGGCTACGCTTATGCGGCCCCGGAAAATCCATCCTATGGATTGAGCATGGATTCTCCAAAGGAAATTGTCATGAGGGTCATGACTCATCTTTGGTCTCATTGGAGTTGGTGTATCGACAAAGAGATTACCGCTTCACTCATGTACATGTATTGCATGGATGCAAACTTGCCCTCTTTGCCTCAAAACCCACAAGGACGAAAAAAAACAAGGTTGTAGAGGTTGGTGAAGATGGTAGAGATTTGGATTGGAGTGGATTGGGTGATCAAGAATTCAAGCTTGCCAGTCACATTGATACAAAGGAGACCTCAACTATTATGCAATGGCATATTCTCATGAAAGCTATTGCATTTAAAAAACTTAACACAATGTTAGCTCATGGAGGTGCTCTTTGGGAGTTTCGTCGCCTTCTATTGCAAGTAATCCTTCTATTGTTCTAATAAAAGAATGCAAGAAAGAAAAAAATAAAAAGAGATTAAACAAAATTTAAATATAACAATATTTGAGATTGAATTTTAGTAGATGTTATGTTTTTTCTTTTTGGAAATATTAATCTACTCTACCACTTGTTGTAATACTCAAAAATATAGTAGTAATTATTTTTTTGGTTTGAAGTTTTCAAACAAAATCTTGAGGCTAAAAGATGGTTTAAATTGTATTGTTTCTTTGTTTATTTATAATTTGTTCTTTTACGTAAACATAAAATTTTGAATGTTTTTGTACAACATTCATTGACTTTTTCCAACACTTGATATTGATTTTTCATCAAAATGAATAATTTACACTAAATATGTGCATCACAATGTAGATTGTAAACCTTCCTGAGTTCATTGATGTTGATTTTTGCAACATAGACCTTCAAAAGCAACTTACTCACCACCCTTATTCCATCTTTATAATTGGATGTGATGCGGTTGTGATTCGAACCACATCAAAAAATGTCTTCATTTGGAAGATTGTCCGATTTGGTTTCTATGAAGGAACTGTCACTCTTGGTGGTGGGATAAGCTTGAAGGGATTATTGGATTGTTTGGGAGGTTTTGATGCCCAAAAGTCAAGAACCAAAGGAGAAGTAGGCGATACAAACCCTAATTCCTTAGGTGACAATGCAAACCCTAATTCGTGCGAAGGTGGAGACCCTAATTGCGGGGACCATGCGCTGGATTGGGCCGTGTGGCGAGGAGTCTATCAAGGAGGCCCGTTGGAGGCCATGCTCACGGCAGTTTTCGGCGAGGAAGACGACGCCATGGTGCTCAAATTCTTGACCGAGTTCTTCGCGAAATGGAAAGATCGAGAGCAGTGTCGATGCTGCGCCACCTCCGACCTCGGCACCGCATTCCGAGACTGCAGACATTTCGTGAACCCGGTCTCCAATTGGAAGCTGTCGTTGCAGGAACGATGCGCGCTGGCGCATCTACGCAGCGCCAGCCACGACGTGCGGCGCCAGGGCCTCAGAGTCTTGCTGGACTTGCTCTTCGACAGAAGGAGAGAGCTTCCCTCATCGAATGCACTCCAGAGGCACGCTCAATCCGCGGCGCAGAGAGGGCCGTCGCATTCCACCCCCGCGAGCTCACGCCTCGCCGCCGCGAACCCAACCGCTCCGCACTCGTCTGGTTCGAACCCATCCCCGCACCTCGGCAACAGAGAGAATCTGAACCTGTTGTCGGGGTTGATGGCTGTGATGGACCGGCCGTTGACAAGCCATCCACTCGGAAAGCCCAAGCACTACATCGGAGACCAAACCCAACGAGCGTTACAAGCCGCGCAGATGAAATGGAGCGAGTTCGAGGACATGAAATCAGACAGATCCACAACACCTGCAGTCGCTCGGCCGTCGCGTGTCCTACAATGGCCACAAGTTCTCGAATGGGTCGACAGCGGATTCCTCGAAGCCTTGCTGAGGGAAGGAACCCAACCAGGCGAAGAGACACAGCTCATCCCTGTCGAAGACATAGCCGAAGCGTGCGTGCAAGCGGTACACGTCGTGTCCGGCGAAAGCACGCACCGCATCGTCACCCGCCTGATCTCGCAACTACACAAGTTCGTGGATGTCTTCGGAACACTACGTATCGACGCCGCGCATCATCTGGATCCCATGAAAGCCCCGGCATCGCAAATCGCAACGGTGAGGCTGCGATCGTCGTTTGCGACGATGTCGCGATTCGGTCGATTGCTCGCGCTCTTGCTTTCGTCGTCGGCGTCGATTGCGTCGAGCTTCGCTGAGTCGCATGGCTTGACGCTCATCCTTGAGCTTTACTCTCTCCTTGCTCACAAACTCCCCACAAATGTTGGTGCATTTGACATGGCAAACTTTGACGTTCAAGATGAAGTTTTACCCGGTGAAGTTTATGAGCCCCACTTCCATCAAACCAAGACATGCAAAAGTCATGTATCCCACCATCCTAAACCTAACCCTAAACCACAACCATTGTGGGTTAATCACCATGAAAACAAACGCAAGTCTTCATCTAAAGCAACCATGCCTTTGACCATAGCAGCGCACGAGGTATCTGTATCTTCACCAATCTTGCATAGTTTTTTCACAAGGAACTTGATGGTTGTTGAAGACGCAGCAAGAACAGAGAGCAATTCGGAATCCAACTTGTTGCAAAAGAAACATGACTGTGTGGTGGCAGTTGGGGATAACAAATTGGGGTCTGTGGGTAAAAGAGATGATGACATAGAAGTGGATTATTTCCCATTGCTTACATTGGAAAGAGTCATTGGTATTATTTGGCGGACAAAGCTTTCTTTATTGCAATCGTTCATAAGTGTGTGGGAGTCTCAAAGCATATTCATGAACAAGTGTAAAATAGAGATGAAGCACATGTTTTCACAGGAAACGAAGTCGGTGGAGTTTCTTTCATGGTTCCTTTCAGATCTCATGGAGGGTCATTTGAGTACTTTGGGATTTGCTCATGTTTGTGAAAGTGTCACAAAATCAATCTTCAAGGTTATTTGTTTATTAGACAATGATTTGTTGGAGAATGATGCATTTGCATGGCATCATGTCCAAAAGATTCAATGCAATGCTCAGTACATGACAGAAGGGCCTTGGTGGAGCGGACCAGGGCCCCCACAAACTCAATTGTTAAAAACAAAGCTCTCTGATTCTCTGTTGATGGAGCTTAAAAAAAAAATAGATCACATAATTTCTAACTTGATGACTACTTTGTCAAACAATCCTTTGAAAGACGTTCAAAAGTTTAGCACTTGCAAAACTTTTCATCAAAAAAACAATAGCGTACATTTTTGGATGTTATGGGTTCATTTGGCTTGTTTGATTATGGCCTTATCAAATTATATAATCTATTGGCCAAAGAAGAAATCAAGTTTCAAAGATGTTTTGGAATATTGTGGTGAGAATTTTCATCATGTATTAACGATTCTTTCTAATTTAGGACCCGTGTCAAGTTGGATTCCCCCACAAATTCTCACAATGCAAAGTATTCTGAAAATTTTGGGGCTATGTATCCAAGATTCTACAACTGCAAATGCTAAAGAAAATTGGAGCCCATATGGAAAAATATTATGGGAGATGATGATTGACAAGTGGACACATTGGAATTGCATACAATCTTATATAAGTTGGTTGACCCTTGAAGCATGTCAAAGTTGTTTGAATAATGTATTCAACAATTTCCAAAAGGAGTTGAATGAGTCCATTCATTCATATTACTTTTCCCTTGAGAATCAACTAAATGTAAAAAAATATTTATCAAATGATTTCGAAATATTTCATTCTTCAAAGTTTTTTAAAAAGAAAGGAATTGTATTTCTTCATTTGGTTGTAATGCTAGTGAAACAAAAGATTTGCACTTACAATGAAAACTTTTGCAAAAGAAGTGAATTGCAATATTTTTGTGACGATGATGCCTTGTGGTTCCTTCAAGAGATTATGAATCCTAGTCACGGCCTTTTGTTTTTGGCTATTAAAAATAAGTATACCAAAGAGTGTGAAGAATGTGAAATCAAAAATCCCAATCAAAATTTTTCTCCGGAGATTATTTTTAATATTAAACAACAAAGTTTGATCCTTCTTGCTCAAATTTTCAGCCTGCAGTTCTTTGCTCTGAAACCACGAGCACTTAAAACATGTGATGTAACACACGCAAATATTTTCTTCACTAGAAAATATCTCATGTCTTTTCTTAATGTACTATATTGTAATTTTGAAAATGCTTATACCAAAGTTTTGCAACAGCTTAGATTTAATTCAATCTACTCCTCTCAAGGATCCAGACCCGGAGAAAATGAAAATAAATGTTCTTCTGTATCAAATGAACAAAACAGTTTTAAAACCAATGAAAACAATCATGAAATCATTCATTATACAACAGATCAAATGTTGAGTTTATGCTATTCATATGCTCATGTTCTCCTTGTTATAGCTAAGAATTTAAATGAAGATGGGCGCCTAATCTTCAAAGATTTGTGTATAATGGATTTTCTTATTCATGAAATTTCTTTAGAATATGAGTTTTCTCATGTTGTAGAATCCGAATTGTTTTGTAAAGTAGGAGCAAAGGAAAAATCCAATTGCATCAATTTTCAAGTCACAACCTCAAGAAAAGATGCAAATATGACATATAGTGGATTGAATATCTCAAATCCAAAGACTAGACCCATAGAAATGGATTGTGCTCTTCCAAGTCTTGCTCAAGAATACAACATTGGAAATTCAATTTCAATGTCCCCAAAACTTATGGTACAAAAGATCATGGAAAAAAATACTATTACTATGCAAAGTCCAATTTTGATACCTGAAGAGTGTATACTAGATTCAAAAAGAATGGCTACAATATGTGACAATAATACTTTTGAAAAAAAAGATTTGTTAAAATCTTCTTGTAATAATATCTTTGGTGATAAAAACTTGAGTGTTGAAAATAGTAGCAGTACAAATAAAACTTCTAGAAAGTGTGATTACACTAGTAAAATTTTTGTATATAGTGGTCGATTTTTTGACTTAAATGAAGAAGTTGAACAAGAGCTTGCAAAAGAAGATGATGAAAATCATGAGGAATCACATTCTTCAATATTAAATATGTATAATGAATATAGTGAGTTTGAACAAGAGACAAGATTTGCAAGTATTGAATCTAATAACAATGAGGATTCTTCTATTTCATCAACTTCTACTATATTTAGTGAAAGAGTGGAGAAGGTCATTCCATCTATGACAAATTCTCGACCAAAGATACCCAAGCTAAATCTCACAAATGCCTTTGATAAAAATCAATCAATATTTGAAGAGCACCTTCATGCGCATAAAATTGGGCATAATTTTCTTAAAGTTGAAAGTGAGGGTGACAAATGGAACATCCCAAGTCCAAGTCAAATTTCTTGTGACAATGAACGATCCAAGAGGCCCATCTATCATAATCTAAGCTTACATGTCATTTTATTGGAACTGATTATCTATCTTATGTTAAGCCCAGAGTTAGTGTTCATTATTATTATTTTTTTTTTGTGAAAAAAATCATATTTATTTACTTATTTATTATTTTATTTTATTTATTTTTATGAATGTGAGCCAAAAAATTTGCATCTCTGAGTATTTTGATAATTGAAATGCATGCAGAGGTACATTAGAAGTGTTTTATTGTGACCGTTTTCCAATGGAAAGTCAAAAACTTAATGCACCATTTTACTTATTTTACCGTATCCTTTCCCAATTTCATATTAAAATCTTCATGTGTACATCTCCTGTATTGTCAAAACATTATAAAAATAGATGTTGCAAAATAATCAGGCTGTTATTCTTTTTTAATATAAACAAATATTATCTCATGTAGTAGTTTTCTTTTATCAAATTAGTTGAGACATTTAAGCAATCAGATTGTCACCAATAATTATCTTTTGTGTGTGTGTGTGTGTGTATGGTTTTATCATCTAACTTCATGATGGCTATCTTTAAAGATGTAAAACTTTCAGATATCAACCACACAGTTAACGAGAATGTTGTAAAAACTTTAGCAAAACGTTTGGATGCTTCTCATAAATCTGCATTCCAAATCTTGAAATTAACATGGCAAGCTTTATTTGATTCATCTGTTTATACTAATCGAACCCAAATTGCACAAGGGGTTCAGTCTCAGGTGTTGTACAATTTTCATGCATGAACTTGATTTGAACTTTTAATATTAAAATTCTAAGAGAGTGGCGGTTGAATCACTTTAGTTGGTGAGAAATATGATGCAAAAAAAAAAAAAAAAAAAAAAAAAAAAGAAGAAGAAAAAGGGGCAGAAATAATAAAAGATTGGGAATAGTTTCTAATTTTATATTTTTTCAAAAACTATTTTCAGTTTTTTCAATTGATTTTTTTGGGGTATTGCATGTAGTTGATAATGCATTGTTTTGTAAGTAGGTATATAAGGCGACTAGAAGAATTGTAAAGGATGGTGTAAACAATGATGAGGTGGTTGTATTGAAGGTAAAAGAAAATTTGTCCTAATTTGTCATTAATGTCTTCAATACTCTTGTGTGTAGACAGGAAAAGATGGACCTTTTTTTTTATGGGTTGTTACCATTGGTTCTTATAACAAGGAAAAAATAAATTAAAAGGTGCTTCTTGATTTTCATCATATAATATGCTACATAAATGAGAGAAAAAAAAAAGGAGCTATGAATGTATTCTAAAATTTCCTTTATAACTTATTATTAAAAAAATGATTAATAATAATAATATTATTATTATTATTCTTTTCTAAAGACAAACCATGCTGAATCATAAATTACATTGCAGTTGATTGACATGCCTAAAGGTCCTCATGACCCATGTAATTTTTTTGATGTATACTCGGAAGTTCAGATTTTGGAAAGGTTTTTAGGTGACTTCCGAGTTTGTCAAATCATAGATTATGGTGTTGAACATGATGCCTTTGTGTTGGTTCTCAAGCACTACAAGTGCAATTTGAGAGTGTGGCGACAACAACACACTTGCAATAACTATTGTGCCAACAACAATCAAAATTCAATACTAATAGATGAGCAACAAGATTCAATGTTAGTGGAAGAAACATCTAATGGATCTTTGCTTAAAAGGCTCCCTTTGTATCTTGAAATTTATGGAGCAGTTCTTCAAGCTGTAAGTAATTTCACCCTTCAAATTAAGAATAAAAGTATGGGTATAATAGTACCAAAAGTTAACCAGTATATGTTCCATTATAGTGTCATGTCAATTATTATTATTATTATTATTTTTTTTTTTTTGAATTGTTAACAAGTATATCATTGTTTGTTATTGATGTGTGCTTGACATTGAATATTAGGTGAAGGCTTTAGAAGTGCAAAATATAGTACACTATGATTTGAAATGTGACAATTTCTTGTTAGAGCCTTTAGAAACCATACAATCAAATGAAGAATTTTGGCAACCACAATGGCCTCCACAAGATGCAACTTGTGCAATTCCATTTCGTGTTTCAATAGCAGATTTTGGTCAAAGCAAAGTACAAACATTTTTCTTTCTTTCTTCATTCAAACACCCACTCTTTGCGGTTGTTTTTTCTTTTGTGTCTTCTGACTTTCAATAACTAGATAAATACTAACAAAATACAATTTCTGTACCAATTTTTTTAACACATGAAAGTATATAGCAACACTATTTATTTCTTTTTGAAACAAATACTAGAATTAATTCCACATTGTATCATCCAATCAACATAGGCTTCTTTTGTTCAAGGAGGGGAATGCACAACCCGCAACCGAGGCACAGAATGTGTGAAGAGCCCCGAGATGTTGAAATTGTTGAGCAGAAATGCAAGTGCATCGTGTGAAACATCCTCAAGCGTGGATGACAAAATCACAATTGGCAAGGCGGGTGACATTTGGGGGCTTGGGTGCCTTTTGTATGAGCTCTTGACTGGAGAGTATCTTCTGTATGACAATGATTGGGTTCGCTTTTTCATGCGCGTGACTCAAGCTACGGAGGTATTTACTACCCATATCATTTACACAAAGAAAACACACACACACATAAATACATGAGATCTTTACTTTATAAATTTTTTGTATTAATTTTACTTGAAGTGGAATAAAAATGTATGACCAAGGATCAACACAAAATAAGAATGTACACAGAGTCAGAAATCATTATTGATTTTATTGTTTTGAGGTTTGTTTATTACAGTTAACTCAGTAAAGAACACAGATGCAACATGCAGGAACTCATATCAGATGAGAAGGCTGAAAAATTAGATAATTGTTCCCCCATTATTGAGTTTTTGCAATTTATTCTCGTTAGAGATCCACATTCTCGGCCATCGTTACAAGATCTTGTGGTGAAGCTTGAGCAACTCCAAGAAAAGCTAAAGATTAAGACAAAGATTGATAGCACAAGGGAAGACATATTTGGTGATGAAGATGATATTAATGTTTTTGAAATTGAACAAGAAAAACCATCTTGTGAGATGATTGTTATCCCTACTAAAATCCAACCATTAAAATGTGTAAATAATTCATTGCAAAAAGGGTACCAAATTCCTAGTGGTACCACTACTCTACCAAAATGTAGTGTTTATGGAAATTTACAAGTACAAAAGATATGTGTAGAAAAGAAAAAAAGATGGTTTGTTCAATTTTGGCAAGGATGTTTGGCATGTTGTTGGAGGGGCAAAAACATAGTGCAATAGGTTAGAAATAATCATTTTTGTTATGAATTCCATGCTACAAATGCTTCAGAAAATGAGTCAAATTTTTGTGTTGTTGAATATGATTTAATTTGAAGCGTACATTATTGGCTTTATTTCAATTCAATTCAATTCAAGAAGGTGCAAATATATAAATATATATATATATATAAATATATATATATATATATATATAAATATATATATGAATAAATTCATTGGATTCTATTGACATAAATTAGATTATACCAAGATTATTATTTTTATTATTATTATTATTTTTTTTTTGTGAATTAAGAATATATTAATGCAGGCTTTCTAATTCTTATCTAATCTTACAAATAAAATATTGAGTATGTACAATCCTGTTCTATACATAAAGATAGTTACAATGAAGTCTTACTAATAAATTTCTTGTTTTTACTTTTCTTCTTTCACATCCTGTAATATTATTAACCAAATATTTGATTGTTTGTGCTAAAACCGCATGCTCAATATTAGTGCTTTTTGATAGGTATTAATTATTATATTAATAATTCTGATACAATGTGAATAATAATTTGTGGGAAAATTAAATGCTTATGTGAGACCTAAATTTAGTTCAGTTTTCAGATTCATTGAAACTGATTAAAAAATTAGATGAGCTTTTTCAATAGTTTAATCCTACCTACATGCAAAGAATCATTTCAAATACATGTAAAGTCAAATGTAATAAATAAAAATGAAGACTTTGAAATAATCATAAATCATGTAGACCAAGATATAGTGACATTTATCTTTTATTTTTGGATTATTTCAAAATTTCAAAATAAAAAGTTAAAGTAAAATAAGTCAAATGGTAAGATTTCAAGCTTAAAGTTTAGACAGTAGAAGTTTATTTTGCTCTTACGTATATAGTAATAGAATATATCATTTTGAATATACTCAAATTTAACATATTTAGATGTATCAAATAATAAATTGATAAAAATAGATGTAGATATAAAAATGAATGAATTTAAAATTGAATACTTTATAAAATATTAAAAAGTTAGATTACACTTTTTCTTTGAAGGTCCATAGAAATGATCTAAGTTGAATCACTTAGAATTTTTCAACTAATTTAATTCTTTATATATATATATATATATATATGCATTAAATATCATATGTGCTGTTTTTTTTATAACTAATGAGTTTCTTCTATTATTATTATTATTTTTAAAATCACTTTTTTTAAAACATAATATTTTAATATGAAATCATATATATATATATTGAACCAATATATCAAAATTAAATCTTATTTTTTTGCACATACTTTATTTCTTCAATGCATTTATTTAATTTTTTTTCCTTACTTAAATAATAATTTAGATTTTTTTAACACAAATCAATGCAAATGCTTAATACTTCTTATTCTAAAAATATAGAAAGTACACAAAATAACATTAAAATAATTGAAACTAGACTCTCTTATAAAAAAGTCCAATTCTTTTACAATTTGGATTACAAAACAAGCCTTATATTTCTAAAGCATGTACTTCAACTAACTTACATTTGCTTGGTATAGAAGTTATATATATATATATATATATATATATACTATCAACACACACATCTTCCAAAACTCCAAACTTTCAAAACTCATCTTTAATGTATTGATTACAATGCTTCTTGATTTGAGGCCGATTTTGCAAAATTCACTATTGAACTTAATTTACAAATGCATTTCACCTACCAAATCATCATTTGATAGGTTCAATCTCACCTTGATCTAGAGTAAATATTTATATATCTTTAAAGTCAAGACAAAGAGTTAGTGAGTATTTTCACAATATCAAAACAAGGTCTTTCACCTCTATGGAGCCCTAAGGTCAAACAATGGTCGGATTATTACAAGGTAACCTAAAATTCCTTTGGACTACTTTCATTCTTGAAAACCACATGAATTACCAACTCAAACCAACACCAAATTAAAATGACTACACTAAATGTTCTTCCACCTACCCAAACTTTGCATTTACTTATGAACATGTGTTACAAAACGTCATCTCCTTGTTGCACTCCGGCACACAATGCGAAGAAAATCACTCCAGTTTGTACACACGAAGAAGAAGAAGAAGAAGAAGAAAAAAACTAGAAGCTGTGAAGATGATGATGAAGAAGAAGGAGATGGAATCAGCGGCGATCACAAGGCTGCTGCTGCTGCTCAACCGAGCAATCTTCAGCGTGTGGGTGAGTACAATTCGGGTGCATTTCTTACATTCTTTCCTACTTTCTTTCTGTCTTGCTCACTGGGTCTCTTGCTCTTGCTCGCAGATTGTGTATGTGTGTGTTTTTTCTCTTTTTCTGAGTGGCCTGGAGTGAAGGTGGTGGGAGCCACAAAACCCACCCAAGCTCAACTGCCGCTGCCAACCATTTCTATTTGTGATCTCTCAGTATCTACGTGGACCGAGTGTGGATCGAGTTCCAAGGGGTTCGGATTTTGTGGTTTTGCGGTGCGCAACATCGCGGAGCCATCTCGATTCCGGTCTGACTCGTGGTCATGGCACTCGCTTTGGGGGAGCTGACCTTTTTCGTGATCAGCTTTTGAGAAGCTTTTTGATGGCTATTTGGCGGTTCTGTATCGAGTTGAGAATAGGTGTCTGTGAGATTGGTGTGGAGATTGTGGGTGGTTTTGGGTTGCGGGGTGAGCAAGCTACGTTGTTAATTGGTATGTGGGGCTTGCGGGAATAGTTGGCTGAAGTATCTGTTTTTTTCAGTCGGTGATGCGTTAAGATTCTGGAATTTCGTGGGGGTCAAGCGAAAGCATATTGCTATGTATAGAAATCGGTCCGATGCTTTCAATTCCTTGGCAAGGTTTATGCTCTGCAAACGTTGAATTGTTTTCGCGAGAGTTTTACTCTGAGGGCTGAATTTGTGGATTCACGAACTTTCCTGGCATTCACGAACGTTTTGGGGTGTTGACATGCAGGATGAGACTACAGCTCTTTTGTCAAGTCCACGGATCGCGTGCAGCTCACAGAATGTGTAGTCGAAAATTCTTGAGCCTGTGTGTCCACAATTTCCTTTAGCTTTATCTTCCTTTCTCTACATGCATCTGTCCACAATGGCTCAGGAGGAAAAATGCACCGTACCCAGTAATGCGAATTCGGGCGCAGCCGACGCTGCTCCCGCACCGCGTGATGTGACCAAGATAAAGAGGCCCCAGAAAAGCCTGGCGTCGTTTGTTGCAGGTGGAGGGGCAGGCATGTTGAGCACTACTCTGCTACAACCCCTCGATGTAATCAAGACCCACATGCAAGCAGCGGAAAATCCCAGAGATAGGCACTTCAAAGTGGTCGTGAACAGGATTTTAGGGGAGGATGGTGTGAAAGGGCTCTGGAGGGGCACGGGACCAGCTTGTGTTAGAGTAGGGTTAGGTGCCGGATTGTATTTCGCAGTTTTAGGGCCGATGATGGAGACCATTAGGTCTGCATTCGCTCGTGGAGAGCCTTACACTCAAGGCGATGGGGGTCCATTGAAGGAGAAACTTCCAGCTCTGGTGACTTTGAGTGCGGGTGCGTTGACAAGATCAATTGCATCTTCGGTTGTCTGTCCCATTACGGTCATCAAGACGCGCATGGAGGCAAGTTCTCTTACACAGAATTTGGAGTCATGGCTTTGGGGTCTGAGAATTCTTGCAACTAGGAGTTTAGACTACGTAGGGATAGCTTGAGGATCAACTGTGTGAGAATGCTTACGTAGCAGTGGATCTGGGTCGTCAGGGCTACGTTCTTGGTTGATGGTGACAAGCGTGCAGCAGGGCGGGGGTGCAGTATGCGGCGGCGTCTGGTCTTGTTTATCGCAACACGTTTCATGCTGTTCAAACTATCTCATATAAAGAGGGTCTCTCCGGTGAGTGAATGTTGCGCTTTAGTTTATTTTCACTTGTTTCTCGGCCATACTTCGTTCACGCAATTGTAAACTGGAATCCCATCCTACTCTTTACACTTCTCACCATATGAAAGGGGTTTTACAGGTCTTTACAGTGGATTGATACCAACACTAGCACGAGATGCACCATATTCTGGTCTGTATCTTCTGATGTACAATCGCATTGGCAGCTCTTTGAAAGGTATTATCATCGCCCCATATATTCATTCTGGAATGCCCGAAATGGTTCATATTAATCTTTGAGATGAGACGAATATCTATAAGTACGTGTGCTAGCTTGGATTTTGATGGCTTTTTTAAATATCTAGCAGCTACATGGGTGTCTCCTGTATTTTGAGAGTTATTGGAGTGGTTATTTGGGTGTTAAGTGAACCGGAAGTTGACTGGATCGTATCTCAATGTTGTGTAGAAAGTGTGCCTACTGGGACTCCGCAAGCTGCTACCAATTTCTTAGCAGGTACATGATTTTGTACATGTCAGAGCTCAAGTGCACAAGCGATAGATTTGTGTCGTTTGGAGAGGGTTGTGGGCATACTCGAATGTTTTTGTGTTGATTTTTTCTTTTACCAAGCGTACAACACGTATTGGTGCTGCGTTTTTTACAATGATTCATGAAATAAATCATGCTTACATTTAGCAGGTCGAGTTTTGGTATTGTGATTTCAAGTTCTAATTTTGTACTATGGTTATGGTGCGACTAAGTTGGCATTTTGAAATGTATCGTAGATTTTAACTTGGTAGATTTTGGGCAGGTGCTCTGGCTGGAGGGAGCGCGACACTTCTAACTCATCCCCCGGACGTGGTATGTTTCTGGCTCAGACGCACAAAACTATTGAAAGTCCATCTGAGAAGAAGAATGTCTGATGTTTGTGCCTGCGCTAGCTCCCTGACAAAGTAGTTCAATTGAATTAATAGGCATGTTGGATCCTTTTCTTCTCTAGAAGGTTTTCATTTCTTACCCTGATTCCACCATAATCCAGATTCGGACAAGGCTACAGTTGGAGCAGGGCCTCACCTCCAGCATTGTGTCTACAGTCAAGCACATTGTTGAGGTCGAAACCTAACTAGATTTATGTAATCTTCATGCTTTCCGTTGGCATCTCTTTTCTCTTTTCAATCAAAGTGCATGAACTTGGTGGATCATTAGCTCTGCCGGAGTAACTGCATTTTGGCACGCACTGTCTGTGGATTTAGCCCAACGCCCTTGTAAGCAGGGGGCGTCAGTTTCAAGTGAGCTTAAACAGAGTTTCAAGATAAATAATTGATATGCAGCCATATTTTTATGTAACTACTTTTGGTTGTAGCGCATGCGGGAATGTGCTTCCTGATACGTTTCTTCAAAGTGGGTCGACCCTGTCTAAGCATAATCTGTGCATCTGTGCAGGTACATGGTCTTAAAGGTTTGTTTGTAGGGGTGATGCCGAGGGTTGGGAGGCGAGCACTGCAGCAAGCTTTTGCATGGTAATAAGAATACCACATATCTTTAGCACCTCATAGTCGCTTCTTTTCTCTGTTAGTAGGTGTACATCGTTTTCAGTCTCTCAATCTCATTCTTCGGCTTGTTTTATGCAGGACAATCTACGAGGAGATAGTGCAACGAGTGTCCAGAAAATTCTGACTTGCCCACACAATCCAAATCTTGGAAAGTAATTTGTGGAGTGTCGCGACTTAGATTCACGATTTTATCGTATTGTTTTGAAAAAAATACTGGTTTTCTGCATACTTTTGGGGCTTCATACCGAGAAGTGTGTTTGGTCCTGGAATGTCAAAAGCTGATTTCAGATGACCCGCTCAGTCTTGGTGTACATTTAAAATTAAAATGGAATATATGCAGCATATTTGCAAGTGTTTTTGCATTAAATTTACAGCCATATATATTTTTTAAAATAAAAACACATTCTCCAATTGTACTACATTAGGAAAATTTCACTTTCAATTTACGTTTGTAATTCTATCATTATATAATCATTACTAATTATTAATCACTACATTAATAAGATTAAATGTTTTAATAAAAAGGAGGGTCATTGTTAGCTTCAAATGTAATATAATATATTTGCATGTATTGTGCTTTTGTAACAAAGTACACATCATTACTATGTTTGTCTAATTTTCACAAATTTGTTTGTTTACGATTATTAACTTGTTTTAGTACTTTCATTATTTAATAACCAATCTACTATTATTAAGAGAAATAGATATATATATATATATATATATATATCTCGGGAGTTGTCAAACCACACCCCACTTTTGTTAAAGCCACACATTCTTTGTCAATAAATGATTCATTTTGTATTAGTTCCATGTCTTCAACCCTGTTCCCATTCATCGTCCTCCATTCCTAGCTTGACCCTCTTCTATCTCTACCATGTCTCCATTTTTGCATTAAGAAACAAAACTATGCTTAATACATTTAGTAGCTAGTACTTCATTAATTAATTAATTAATTATAATTATTTATATCAATTCAAGTTTTACATCTAACATTTGAAATTTTCTTCAGATTTTAATAATATTATAATAATATAATTATTTTAAAAAATATAATTTCAAAGAATTAAAGAGCATTGTGTAATTAGCCCAAATTTAGTAAAAAATATATTTCTTGTAAGAAAATAATAAGATATTTTTAAATTTTCAATACATCCAATAATATTTTATATACTATTAAGAAAATTTTATTGACTGATATTTTTAAATTTAGTCACAATATTTTAAAATTAAAGTCTAATTTTAGATATATTTAATATTAATTTTTTTAAAAAAAAAAACAAAAAGTTGTGATTATGATTCTTGTTATATTTGGATTTTTGCAACTCAACTTATTTCAAATCTGAAACCATAATTCAACTAGACATACTTCATTGATTAATATCATTTGAAAAACTCATTAAATCAAATTATTTCTAAATTTTTAATTCAAAATTTGAATTTTATATTAAATATTTTAGTAACAATCTTTAGAATAATTAATTTTAAAATATTTATTAATTATTAAATTTAATAATTTTGAATTGATACTAAGATTTTATTTAATTTTGATGAACTTTTATTTGTATTCACCTACAAAACATTTATATTGTTATTTAAATAATAAGATTAGATTATTAAAAATTAATTTAATTAAATAAAAGTAATTTGTATTCCTAATAAATGTTAGTCAAATAATTTGTTTTGAAAAAACAGCTATTATTTTAATATCATTAAAATTTAAATAATTCTTTAAATATTAAATATAAAATTTTAATTAATATAAAAAATTACAAATAAATAATTAATGAAGTACTAGCTATTAAATGTATTATGTAAGCATAGTTTTGTTTTTTAATGCAAAAGTGATGGAGATGGGGAGGGGACAAAGGAGGGAATTAGGATTGCTTGGGGACAAAGTAGGATGGAGATAAAAGAGAGAATTAGGACTGTCTGGGGACAAAGTGGGGTAGAGGTAAAGGGAGGAATTAAGACTACGTGAAGACAGAGTGGAGTGGGGATAGAATAGGGCCAGAACTACAGTGAGGTCGAGACAGGGTGGGAATAAGATGGATGAGGTCATATTTTTTAGATGCAAATCATGTAACAAGGATCGATAGTCAATCTGAATAACTACTGGCTTTTCCAACATATATTATTGCCACACCTTTGTGGCATATACAATCGCTAATTGCTCTTGATGATGTAAAGAGTAATTGTGCTGTACCCTTCTAAGCTTGCATGATTCATACTCCATAAGTTGAAGGCCTTTACCAAAGTTTTATTGAGGAATTGCTCTAATAGCAAAGTCCAAAGCAACAATGTCAAGTATATAAAAAAAATTTGGAATCATATGGTTGCAATATTAGGGCAATAATGAGTGCTTCCTTCAACCTATGAATAGCGCTTTGGTATTCTAATTTCCATTCAAATAGAATATCTTTCTCTACTAGATTTGTCAATGAAGCAATAATATGTGCAAATAGTCAAATAAAATAGAAATTACATCCAAAAAGGCCTAAAAATGAGTGGACTTCAAAAGCATCCTTGGAGGTTGGCCAATCCTCCACTACTTTTACCTTATTCTGTTCCATATGCATGCCTTTGGAAGACACCACATGCTCCAAAATAGTGACTTTTGACTTCCAAAGTTTATATTTTGATTGCATGCAATAGAAGCAATTATCTTATAGCTGGCTTAACACATCTCATAGGTGTTCTTTATGCTCTTCAAGGGTTTTACTACATATAAGGATATGAATAATGAAGATAAGTACATACTTATCCAAAAGGTCCTAAAATATTCTATTTATGTAATCTGTTATTGTGTTTTAACATAACTATATGGTAAAAGATGATAATATGGATCTTATTATAGAAGAGCCAAGTTAAAAGATAAAGTAGAAAAATATGGATAAAAGATAGGAAGGTAGTAAAACTTTTAGTAGTAGTATTTGCTTTTTAGAAAAGTGACTTCTACTTACTTTGTAGGGCCATAAATAAGGCAAAATAAGATAGACTAGAAAAATAAATAATATAGAAATCTTTAGAAAGAATTTAAGAGTAAATTTTAGCAAAAATTACCTAGAAAAACTAGATATTGATACCAGGAGAGGGCCAATTATGAATTTGGGTTGAAAACAGATCCTAATGCACAAAACTGAGTCTTGACAATGATTCGGGGATTTTTTTGCAGATTGAAAAGTAGAGTTTGTTAGAAGACTAGATAGGATTTTTATAAGCATTGGTTTTGTATGATTTGGATTTTTAATGACTTTGTAAGGGCTTTACAAATACAAGTTTGTTTTGGATGTCTTGGATTTTTATGAAATAAAATAGGATTGACATTTTGGGCAATTTTGAGAGTTTTGTATTAGATCTATAAATTAAATTTTATAGGTTAATGGTTATAGTTGTGTTTAATATGTGCTAAGAATTTTAGCTTGATCTAATGATTGAATTGAGGATTATTGAGGTTTAAGTAGGTCAAGGTCTTAGAAAGTAGAATTTTAGGTCTAGTGAGGATTTTTAAGATTTCTTGCAATCTACTAGTTGGATTGGAGTGAAATTTATGTATGAAGATAGTAAACTTGTTTTCCTATATATGTAAGAATTTTAAAATCAATCAAATTGTGAAAAAAAGAGATATTGGCTATGGGAGATTGGCATCAAGGTCAGAGAAGGAGGCAAGCCAATACCTGAGCATATTTTTGAGGTTATCATCTATTTGGTAATTCCGATCCTTTTTAATTTTTTTCGTGCTTGTTTTCAACTTAATTTTTAAGAAGTATGAAAACTTTGAGTTAAAATCAACGGTTCAAACATTAGTTATTGAGGTTTAAATCTTTTGTAAGAATTACTTGGGATTGGTTAGGATTTGGTTTAGGATTTAGAATTTGATTAGGATTTGATTTAGAATTAAAGATTTGATTAGGGTTTGGTTTAGGATTTAGGATTTGGTTAGAATTTGGTTTAGGATTTAAGATTTGGTTAGGATTTGATTTAGGGTTAGGATTTGATTAAGGTTTGATTTAGGATTTAGAATTTAGTTAGATTTTGATTTAGGAATTAAGATTTGATTAGGGCTTGATATAGGATTAGAATTTGGTTAAGAATTGATTCAGGGATTAGGGTTTGTTTAGGGGTTCTTTAGGATTTAAGATTTAATTAGTTTTTGGCCTAAAGTTTGATTGAAGTCCAATAAGATTTTAACTAGGATTAAATCAAGATTGGATTGAGATTTATTTGAGATGTATTTGTGATCATTTTAATATTTTTTTTAAGATTTTTTATTATTTCTTTGTAATTCTTTTAAGATTTCTTTGAATTGATTAAAGCTTATTTAGCATTATTATGGTCTAATTAGAGTATAGTTAGTGTTCTATTAGAGTTAGGATTTTGTTGTTGTAATTTCCATTCTACCTTCCATAGCCAGGTGCTTGGAGTATTCTCAAGTAAGATTTCACATATTACGACACCGTGAAAGAGGCTGAAGTATTGGTGAGGCCAAAAAATAAAACACGCTATTTGAAATGTCTATAGTGCATACAAAATGTTATCTTTTCAATATCCTTTCTTACAATAGATGTCTATCAATAGCCAATCTAAAGATCTAATTTACTAAAGATAGTCATATCTCTAAGTTGATTAAAAAAATCATCTATGTATAGAAGTGGATATTTAATTTTAATAGTCTGCTTATTGAAGCTTTAATAATCAATGCAAAGCCAAAATCCACCTTACTTCTTAGGTGCAAAGAGTACAAGTGCTCTCCATGGTGATGTACTTTCTCAAATGAGGCCCTTTTCTAAGAATTTGTCCAACATTGTTATATTACATGTTATCATATTTGAAAATGTATGAGATATGTAGATGTGGAAGGTGAAATTGTGTTTTATAAGTATTCAAGAATCTTAATATGTTTTTCTCTTATAAAAAAATATAATTTAAATTTTAATTTAAAGTACTTAAATCTAATTCAAAATACTTAAAAATACTATTTTTAGTAATCTCAACTATATATAAACTCCAATTGCCTTGTTATTTTTATAATTAGGTAACTTTGATTTTTCTTTGCAAGTCCTATTTCTAATCAATAAGCTTTAGCAAGTTGTAGCTACTAATCTAACAATCTACTTAGAGCAAAATTTTGCATATAAATACTACTATAAGTCTTTTATGTGCATTAAAGAATTCATTCCAATGTAATTTACATATCGTAAAAAAATGTCCATCAAAAACTCCAAATTTAACTTTCCTGCTTTTTTATACTATCAATTTCAAAGAACCACAAATATAATCTAATATTTTTTATTCCAAACTTTTACGTCGGATTCACCACTTATATTGTATTATATGTTGTCATGTTTAGAAATGCATTAGACATGT